GTATAGTGCTTGTAACTTTACGAAGAATGGGCCAAATTTCTTATCATTTTGATGATTCCAGAACCTTGCAGATGCTAGATGCTAGATGATCAACCTTTTCTGATCGATTCCACAACGTTTCTTTCACAATGCAATCGCATGACCATAACTGGTCTTTACCTTTAATCAACGATTTTTGTTAAGGATTTGAGACAAAGTTACCGGATCCCTTTAAAGCTCATTAGTACTAGTTTATAGAAGGGATTAGACCGCCCTGCAAGGTCACTGGAAAGGTGGTTATCTCATCAACTCAGCTCTCAATTAACATAAGAAAAAGAGGATCATAGGGACCAATGGTCACCGATTAGGCATTGATTGCATATAGAGGGAGCAAGCAGCTACGACTACAAGTAGGACAGTGTGGCTTTAAACAGCAATCCAACCCTTGTAATAATTTGCTTTGTATGAGAGCCGAAAAGTAAGAGAAAGGTGAAATGAGTCAGACCATTGGAATATTTGAGATATGAGATCATTAAATTTTAATATGCACATCTCAAATTGGCAATTCAGTCGATGGATTGTAACGTAGTTACCATCATGGCCCAATCTCTGTGTACAAACATGTTAATTCATGTTTTGTCTCCAAAGTGTACCATATCAAAATATATTATATTGAAAAGTGTTTTTGAACATAAATCTTGGTATAAATGAAATTTGCTACTTTGTTTCCACATTGACTAGTCTTGTAAACTGACGCGGTACATGTGCATATGTATTTATCTGCTGTGCACAGATTAGCAATGAACTCAACATCTTTGAGTGAACCATTATCAATACTAATTATGTAAACGATATTATGTAATAAAGGTTCCCTGTGGAATGGGAAAAAAATTAACAATGCTGTTCAAGGCTCTTCCATTGTGTGTACGTTTGGGTCCTTCAAACTGGCTGAATTGGTAATGTCAATGTGATGCAGTGTCCAACAGGGGCAGATCCAGCCGGCGGCAAGGGAGGGGGCCCAATTCGTGAGAAAGTATTTAGCGGCGAAACAGCCGGCCGATAATTCGCATAGTGGGAGGGGAGAGGGGGGGGGGGGGGGGGGGGGGTAGTGAGCACTAATTTATTTTTTATTTTGCTCCTGGAAATTTAAATTTCGCGCCGGTCGATAATTCGCTCAGGCCCCCCCCCCCCCCCCCCCCTGGATCCACCACTGGTGTCCAACATTTTTTTCACAAAATGACTAAAATTTCTATTGTGCAAAATGTATGACTCCGGTGAGTCTTTGCATTTCAGAGTACCTAGATAATATGCTTTCCATAATACTCTCATAACCTTTCTTACAAAGCTTGCTTATTCACTCTTTCAATTCAATGGACTTGAATTTCTCTGTGCATTTACCTGTACAATTATACTATAATTACTTTTACCTCATTTATCTCAAATCTTTTTTTTTAAGAGTACCTAAAAAACTTGTAAAACAAAGGTGTTTTTAGTATCATTATAATCACGAAGTTTTTATCGTTATGCACATAATCAAGAAACTAAGGTTACCTATTTACGATTCTATTCCATATGGTGTTTTAATTATTATGATAATCAGAAAGGTTTGATTGCCGTGCACTAATCAAGAAACCCAAGGTTACCTGCTTACAACTCTATTCCATATGGTGTTTTAATTATTATGATAATCAGAAAGGTTTGATTGTCATGCACAAGAACCCAACGTAACCTGTTTACAATTCTACTATTCCAAACGGTGTTTTCATTGCAGCTTGTTTTATATGCTAAGGAGTATAATCAATCCATCGGAGTGAAAACATGATTGGAATAGTACATGCAATCCATGATTGTGTAGATCGATATCTGGGGCAGGCAACGTTCGGTCAGATTTTGGCTTTATATTCAAACAACGTTTTGCGTAGCTTTTCAAAGTTTTGTTAACAAAAAAACCCTGTATATATTTGAAATGTTGGTTTATTTTGCTGAGAGAATATAAACAAATTGTTGCTGAGACATGTTGAAACAAAATGGTCTAATGGAAAAAGGAATAGATGATACTTTTCTGCTCATTATTGAATACAGGGAGAGGAAGTCCACCCTGATATTAAGTTATCTTCAATAGAAGCAGAACAATAATTTGGGTTTTCTGTTGTACGCAGAAAATCTAAATTTTGTATTCTTTCATCAATATTCGACTTTAAACGCATTTGTTTTGAAAACCCTTGCAGAAATATGTCTTAAATTAGACCCTCTTTCACATCGGATACAATTGGAGTCAAATTTTGCCATCAAACTTTTGGGGCTCCCAACGCTTTAGAGGCTCTTCACTAAAGTCGATAGGGGAGCACACTTGGTTAAAAGTCCATTTACTCAGCAAACATTTGATTTGATTTGATTACTGAATGCTTGTAGCAAGTATTGATAAACAAATAATAACTTTAGTGTGGATAAACAATTCATAACTTTAGGAAAAAGTTGGCATTGACAAACATAACATATTATTGTCCTTCGACTGTATCTTTACAAAAAAATGAGCTGTGGAATTTTGATTTACATGAATATCTAGTGATTAATTCGGTTGATATGCAGGTAGGAATTAATACAATTCAATCTGAAAAAAATTAGTGTGATGCCTTTTATAGCTGAGCGTTCATTTCTTGTTAAATCATTCTGCTAGCTAGATCGAAGCCTTCACCCAAGCAAGCAAAATATCAGCATCCAAGTCGGATCTCTCATCTCCTCCGATCGAGAACTAATATCAGTCGCACATCTTAACCATAAGGTAAGCTATTTGTTTACGACTAGATACATTACATTGCGATATAAAAATACAATACGGTGTTTCCATCTGGGTATTTTATTACCTAGAAGACTACACATGGTATACTGATCATGTTGATCGGAATAAGCCGGATCTTTTCGTTCCTATCCACCTCATTATGTTCCCATTCAACCCACTTTTAAAATTTCGCTTGAAAAATATTTATAGATTCTCTCGGAGCTTATCTGCAAGCAAGAATTTGATACAAGAAATAATCAGTTTGGTGATTTTGTGGTAACCGAAAGACTTGGACAAATCTGAAACTCTTTTTATTTTACTGGCATACAATTTGGGAAATCTTTTTTCAAAATGTATGTAATAAGTGTAACTCGTTTTTTCACAATACAAATGTAAAACAACACCAAAAAATGAATATTTAGAATTGAGTTCCTGCATGAAGATGTAACTAAGGAATGATGGCTCTAGTTGGAAAAATATTTTTAGTTATGAATTTATTGTGCTTTTATCATTATTTGCCAGAATTTTATGTAGATCTTTTTTGTACTTGTACTGTTTGAAGTAAGTTCCAAGTGATATTATTAGGAAAAATAGTAACATTACCTTTAACAAAATCCATTGTTTTATCGAGAATGGCAAGACGTCGGTTTATTGAAAATGTATAATTTGATTTCATATTGCATGCGAAATGACCCTAGATTGATTAATAAAAAGGTGAACGCACAATAGCTCTTATTTGATGTTAAATATACTAAATTAAAGAAAGCATTTCCGCAATTTTGCTTAGATAGATTAAGTGATGTCAATGATTTTGAAGATGAATATGATATATTGAATCTTATAGAAATAGAAACAGGGCATAAAGTATATGTTTTTGTTATGAAAGTGAAAGATTACTATCGTTTGCTAAAACGGAAAAAATTAAAAGAGCCAATTGTCATTTATTTTTAGAATTCCTTTCTAGTTTAAGGAATAATGACTTTGTTTGAAAGTATGTATTTTCATTGAAAAAAAACTTAAAGCAAATTCGAAATAATAAAATTAAACAGTTTTATTTCAAGATGATTTACAGGATTTAGAAGAAAAATTATATAAATGACAAATTGTGAAAATATAATTGATGCAACACCTGTTGACAAGTTGATTCAACGTTTCACTTAATGTTATATTGCAAGGATGTGATTATGTTTTGGAAAATAATATGTAATTTGATATTCCAGCTATTCCAATAGAACTACAAATAAACCAAATGATATAAGTTGTATAGGTAAGAACATAGGAAACAAGAAATATACTCTCCTGAATAATTTTAGATTGTGTGCAATATGCAATTCAGAAATGTTACGTTAAAAAGATTATCAATGGTTATGTTATTTTATACCCGCATGCTTTTTTCCTGTCAAGTCGTTGCTAAGATTTTGTTAAAGGCCAACTGCACTACTTATTGCTACTTGCGCCCTCTTACAACAAAAAAAATGCCTTATCGGTGACCATTGGTCCCCCATGATCCTCTTTTTCTTATGTTAACTGAGAGCTGAGTTGATGAGATAACCACCTGTCCAGTGACCTTGCAGGGCGCTCTAATCCCTCCTGTAAACTATGGCAGATAAGCTTTAAAGGAATGAATGTGTTAGCAAAGAAAATAATACTAAGCTGAAATAATTGTTAAATATACTTAGATATTCAGCCAATATCATTTTTCAATCAATCATTGACTAATTAATGTAAATATCTTTTGAAATTATGGATATAAAGACCTCGCTTGAGCAAAGGGAAAGAATTCAAAAGCTAGTGAATGTAGCTTCAATTAATTACAAGACATGTTACGCAGGTTCTTCCCTATTACTTCATTTATTGTTTTAGTTTTCTAACATTTTTTTGTCGTTGGTGATGGTATTTTGGTTCTTGTAGTTTTTTGTTTTAAAGTCTTAATATGTGACCACAATCATGTATATTAGCAACCGTGTAATACCCATGAATTATCTGAATAAATTCTTAGGACCCCACTTAAATTTGACAGTTTTTTTTTTTTTTTTATCTCTGACATAATTTTTACCTCTTAAATTTTAGCATTAAACCAAATATCCCACCGCCTACCCATAATCAGTTATCAAGTCAAAAGTCAAATACTATAGAAGGTGGGTGGATATGAACATTAATGAGAGGAAACATAATGTTGAATTCACTTTTCTCCCGGGGATGACGTATAGACCCTCATTTTGGTTATGAATAAATTAAAGGCGTGGAGTGGCTCTGCTCAAACGATCGCTAAAACATATCAATTGACTTTGTCAAAAACCCTTTTCAGTTCCTTATTCATATTAACCCTGTGTCCCAGCATACTTAACATTTGCACGTTGACACGTTTGACTGCACTTTTGAGCACATATTGAAATATCTTTAACAGAATAATGTCATTTACGTCAGGTTTTCGTGATGTTTCACTATCAAGACATGACACGTTCTAAACATATAAAATGATCAAAGCCTGCATAATGACAACTTTGAAGAATTATTCGTGAGGCTTACAGTTGGAGCTCATTACAACCATTTTCCCTTTCGTTTAAGCTGAGCTCATCATGGCATCGAAGACCATTACCGCCCTGCTCCTTCTCTTCGCTCTCATAGGCGCGGCGAGTGTGGAGGCTATAAACTCTGGGAATGAAGGGGACAGCGCGTTAGGCACGGCCATGGAGGCTCTCACAAGTGACGATGGCATGGTGAATGAAGATGGTTCTGGTAAGCAATGAAATTTGGAATTCACAATTCATTATAAATCATAAGACTGGGTAAAAGAATGATTTGTTTTAATGTGCAACGTAATGCTTTTATTTATTGTTTCTATTTCTTTCGGAGGTAATAATTAAGGAAAGACATTTCTGAACATTTTTTTTTTCGCTTTACACATTGCAAAAACAAGGTTGTAAAATTCAACACCATGGGTGTTAATTTTAACACTTTCCCGGTATCTATATCGGGAAACACCAGCTGATGTTATTTAACACCAGGGTTCGGAATTAAACAATTCAAGTTCACTCTTGGTGTTAATATTTGACAACTCCTACTGGTGTAGATTAACACCAATATCTGGAATCATAACAAATTCAATTCCACTTTTGGTGTTTATATTCTTGTTGGTCCATTATATATTTTTCTATGGTCTTCTAATGGTCCCACATTCCATACATATTGCTCCGGTTGTCTCATTTTCGCTCGCTGGACCATTAATTGCCAGCACAAACGTTCGCCGTCACTACCAAACTAGAATGTTCCACTATGTTGCAGGGTGTATATGCCATTGGGTATGATGTGTTAACCGGGTGTGCGGAAATGGTGTGTTGGGGAGGGGAAGTGAGAGTGTTCATGTGTGTGGTAATTGTATGTGTGTCAACAATTAAAGACTAATACATGACAGATGGCTAATCATAAATCTACAATGACGAGTAAACTACTGTGTACATCACAGTACACAGATTAATGTGCCTTGAACGTATAACAGACGGCAATTGGGGGATCAGACGACACTTGATAGTGATTTTGTATGTGAGATTGCTTTGCTAAATATGAAATTCAAGAACCTATTACATATCTTTAAACTAATCATTGATATCGGATAATTAAACAGTTAGTAAAATAAACCTACCAAACTACATAATACAATGAAATACTTGACTGAAAGTAGGGGAGTTTGATGTGGTGCACAATTGCACCCCTCTGTAAATAATCGAATAGTCCATGGCGTTCATGAATATTCATGTATTTGCTTACCTCTAAATGCTTGCCTATACTAAATGGAAAAATTACGGTGGGGGGATGGCTGAAATAGACATAATGAACAAATCAGAATTGATCTATGTCATGCGGCTTGTTTTCCTTCGTGTGCTTTATCTATAACCTTACAATCGCGTGGAAAATTGAGTCCAAAGTTCGACTTGTTGTACTATATAGGCAATGGCAAGCTTGCGACCTATTTTGATCTAATTGGGGGGGGGGGGGTCTCGAAATTTGGAAATTTGACATTTTGCTCCGTAGGCATTGGCATTATTTTTTTTAAAATTATTTTTATTTTTGTTAATTAAAAAAAAAGGGGGGGGGTTAACCCCCCCCCCCCCCCCTGTGTACGCGCCTGGACATGAGGGTTCCGATGAAAGAGCTAGTGATATCGTACGTCGGGGTGGATGTGCTTTTCGTTTACACAAAAACTGAATTTTTAACGGGTTTTGGGGGTAAAAGTCCTTAGGCTAACGTACATGTTAGGCTGCTGGACTCTGCCGATAGGGGGCGTTGCCAAATGAGACTAAACAGAGCTAAATATTCCCTATTATCTACCATTATAGACCAGAGTAGAAGACCAGTGGTACACTGATAATTCATAATCGATGTTGGCAACTGTTCACCAATAGGTATATTCTAATCTCCATTGCATTAACTCCACCACATATATCATTTGAAGTAAATTCAAGATAAACATTTAACCCTAAAAAGGCCGGGCTATTTGAGGTCTTAGTACGGCTGGGGGAGGGGGGGGGGGCAAATATTATGCCCCCCCCCTTACCATCTCGGCCGTGAAGCGGCCGATCTTCGCGAAAATTTACACGCATGTTAAGTGAAGTGTATAGAATACTATGATAATTTCAATTTTTTGAAAAATTCACTCATTTGCATATTTATGGTAATTTATGCAAATATGGTCATAAAAATCACATTTTTACCTATAAATCATATATTAATCATATCTAAGCATTCTTTTTCACTACATATATTCATTAGACCATTCTGAATAATAATACGACAAAAAAATTCGGAAGAGCCAGCTTATTCCTTATGTTATACCTTGTTTTGATAATTTCTTATGTATTTCGTGTTTTTTTATCTTATGTATTTTATTGTTTTTGTTGTTTTATTTCATTTCTAACAACAATTCAACTATATTGACTCCCAAAACAACCACCTAAACTTTAAACAAGACCCAATAACCCATGTTTGATCTGTTTTTAGGAAAAATGACTTTTCCATATGTTTTGTACTAAAATCACGAAAATGAGTGATTTTCGGGCTGACATGTAAAGACAAAAGGTCACGTGACCTTGTAACCATAGGTCCGATTTTCACAAAAATTCTTTTAAAAGTTGCGCAAGACTCGAAAAAAAAAAGTCAGCGAGCGGCGGGGCGCCATCCATATGCGTTCCCGAACAATCAGAAAAACCGTGGAGGGGGGGGGGGGGGCTATGATGCCCCCCGGCCTTATTAGGGTTAATATATAATAAACATGCATGTTGTTTCTTGGTCAGTAATCATATAATCAATATATCTATTGCTAAAAAGGTTGATGTAATTGTAACGAGATCGGACAAATAATCTATTGGTCAATAATTACCAAAGGAAAATACAAATCACAAAATTAATGTGTAGGGCCTCCACGGAAATCAGTATTTAACTAGTGATGGGGCCACCCTACTAAAAAAAGACTAATGAATAAATAAATAAATAAATTGTAATAATTTGCTTAACAAATCATGATAAATGTATTTTTCTGTGAACACGTGTAAAGTAATCATTAAGCGCGCGTACACTTTGTGAAAACTTCAACCAATCAACAGCCTTAAACGAAATCACGTGATGATACTTTCAACACCGAGCATAAAACTACACAATGTTACTTAACACCCAGTAATTATTATTGCATGCTTAAATCTGACCGGTGTTAAACATAACACCACTGAGACAACACACCTTTATAATCAACACCATACTGGTGTAAGAGTTTCTGCACCCTGGTTTTGACAGTGCAATTTTAATACTCTCACTTCTGATACTGCGTTCCCGTTCAGCCATAATCGTAATGCTTACGGAGTGAATTCTATTTTATTTAATTTTGTATAGGGTGATGATCGACCCATGCCCGCTATGAATTGAGAGCATATAATAATGTGAATCACTTATTTTCTACAATTGGATTTAGCAATCTTTTTACAACCCTTATTTGGACTTCTTCTCCTGTCAGGGCCTCGTGGCACCAAGCGCGGATCCAGCCGGCGGGGAGGGAGGCATAAGGTTCCAGTTGTCTCATTTTAGCTCGCTGGACCACTGCCAGCACGAACGTAGCTCGTTCGACGTCACTACCAAACTACCAAACTTATTTGGCCAGGCTCCTCCCCACCCCCCCCCCCCCCCCCCCACCCCCCCCCCCCTCCCGCCAACCCCTGGATCCGCCACTACGTGACACAAAGATTCGAGATTAATTGCAAATGGTCTGGATAGTCAGCCTTGTTGGTCAATAATAATTTATGTGCATGCAACGTTGATCCTGATTGGCTATTACCATTTTGCAATTGATTGCACACAATTTTGTCACGGGGCCCACATCTTAACAACAGGCCATTTTTAATCTAACATCTCCTTTTGTCCCGTGATTTCACAACTGGTATAAAGATATCATGACATCAAAATCATTAAGTAAACCAATAGCATCCGTAAAATTTAGTCGGTGAAAGGCATGATTAAAAATGATTGAATTACCAAAGAGAATGTATGCATTTGCTGTAAGTTATGCTTCTTTTTTTAAAGTCAAAACTGTGGAATGACATTTTGTATTACATTTCGACTTTGTCTTCAAATATTATAATTCAACAGATGATGATTGCTATGACTGCGGCGGCGTACTTGACTAAATAATGTGAGTATTAGCACCTTTCTTATAATGACTCCAAGTACTCACGAGCGATAGGAATCAATAAAAAAAACACTTACTTAGCATTTGCAATGAGACAAAAGATGTGTTTGTAAAATTATGGCGATGTGAGTTGTTAATGTGAGTGTTATTGACGGAGTTATAATTTTGAAGCCATGTACGGTTTTGTTATCAGTCCCACAAATTTGCAAGACTTCTTCCATGATTAGTTGATAAAGAAATATGAAGTAAGTTTTTATGATGTTTTGCTCTTTGTTTATATTTAACAAGTGAGAGATGTAAAATAGTTAACATTCTAGGCCCTGAAAATTGTCTCGTGTGACAACCATGCACGTGTAAACCATAATGATCGCTATGAACCCTTTGCTATTCGTACGTAATGTTGGTGTGCTGGACTCTGTCAGGAATACAATGATGACTTGTATCCTTAAATTCAAGTTCTTTCAAACAATATATTATATAAATAAAAAATAATCAAAAAGCATGGTCGGAACCACTAGCATGGCCATAGGGTTGGGTATGGAAGCAAGTGCCCCGCGCGCCACAGGCCTGTGGCATAAAATAATATCGAGGAATTTTAGTGCCCGGGCAAGCAATTGCCCCCCCCCCCTGCCAAAACATATGTTTTAATGACCATTTATTTCTATTCCTATTTCTGTTACTATACTTAGGAAAGTAATGCCTTTTTTCGATCGTTAAAGCATGAATTTTCTTTCCTAATTCACTCACTTCGTTCGCTCGATTAAAAGAGTAATATACAATTGAAATGTTTCGCCAAAAAATAACGATCACAAATGTTAAGTAGGCCTACTTGGAGACCTAATGATGAATGCTTCTTCAAAAAAAAAAGACAAATAGTTATTTCAAATAATGTTATTAATGAATCACTACGATGTGAATAATACCAATGAGTATAGAGTGGAGACATGGTTGTCGTAACACGATAACCAATATACATCTTCTTTGTCTTACAGGAACGTGGCATCTTGTATTGGAGATTCAAAAGCAAACACTTGCACACGCACCTGGGACTAAATGGACTTAACTCAATAATCTGACATTGCAATTCAATTTCATAATTCTTCTTCTTGTCATTAATAGATTACAACTTGTTTGATTACGTTTATTATCATTGTTCACAATCTCTTATTTCTCATACATATTGCTCTAGGGTATGACTATTCAAATTCCAACAAATGTAATCGTTGTGTCACCATTATGCTTTTTTTCATCTAGTGAAAATAGAGATACAAACTGTCATAATTATGCGACTATACTTATACTGAAACCTTAGTGTTTGTTTGTATCTTATTGGAGGTATTTACTGAGGAGACATGATATTATTTTGTAGTTTTGGACCCACAAAGGAAAGGTTATAAAGAGTCAATACATCATACTTTCAAAGTTGGTCTGTTAACTGCGTCATGCCATGATGGGTGGCATATGGAAACGTTGTATCATCTGCTCAATCTGACTTGCGTGCATAGAACAAATAAGCATTTTTCCATGAAAAAGTGAAGTTTTCTAAAATGTGCGTTTCTTTCCACCATATATAGGGGTGCCCGGAAATCACTCGGGTAACATTTCATAAAGTATAATAAAAAAAAGACCATATGCAAATTTTCTGTACTTTTGTCGGAAAAAAATATATTTATCCAGCACAATGTCGTCTCTTTTTGCGTTGGAGAAGAGCAAAAAGCGAGTTTCAATCACACTTTGGCCGCTCTCGCAAGCTCTCATTCGTTTAACTGTGTTCAAGCGACTTTGGGGCAAGCGGTTAATGAAAATACCAATCGTAAGCTTTGTTCTGGTATTAAACTTGTTTTGATTGATTGTATAATTTTGTCGGAATAAAGGAAAGAAAGAGGCCTGACCAATAACTTATTAGCGTCTGAATTGACCTTTTGACCTTGAATTCTCTGATGCAAGCGCACATAAACAGGTTATAATGACGTCATCTTCGCTAAATCGGTGTCTTTTATCGTAAAATGCGACACTTTCACAATGGTTATCAACTTTTTTTTAATTATTAGTAAGATATATCTTTTTTTTCTTCTGATATCACTGAAGTTTTGGGTTTTATTAAATGAGTAATTTTAAAATAAGAGCCATTTTACTGTGTTAATTTACTGGATCGTACCATAAAAGTCGCAGGGTAGAAAGATGCATTTTCCAACCGCGCCAAATTTAATTACGTTCCGACATTCTGTTAAATGGGTACGTGTTAAGAATCCACTGCTTACTGCTCCACCAAAGGTCCGCATGCTGAGTCGTTTATTAACTAAATGATTCAAATTTATGGATGCTTCCTTCCCAGGTGTTTGTGTTGTTGAAGCATTTCATTCACCTGTTATTATTGTTTTTACTCCAATTGCCAGAACGCAAATTTCATTTTGGTTGTATAGTTTCATGCGGAGTCGTTTATCAACTATTATGTAGGCCTATTAAAATTTATGAATGCTTCCTTCCCAGGTGTTTGTGTTGTTTATGCATTTCATTCACCTGTTATTATTCTTTGTACTCCAATTGTTAGAATACAAAATACATTTTGGTTTTATAGTTTCATTCAATAAGTAAGTCAATAAAAGAGTATGTTCTGCACAATAAGAACAATGTGTGTCCCTATTGTACAATGTAATGTGTCCCCTCATTTGTTATAGTTCATTTACCCATTCACATAATGGAACTACCTGCCCGATGAAGCCAGTGGCCCGTGACCCCTGAACACTCAACACCGTGTGGGAGTCAGTTTGTGGTCAACTTCTTTTATGAGACAAATCTAAGCAAACGTTTCCATATGGGGGGGGGGGGGGGAGGGGGGGGGGGGGGGAGGGGGGGGGGCGTCTAACTTCATCACATCTATCTGTATTTGTGGGATAAAAGCTTATCAAAGAATTTCATTCGTTAAAAGGCATTTATATGAGAAATATTATCCAGTGCCATGCATTGCCTAATTCTAAGTAATATGGCATCTATCAGCTGAAATGTCCCGTTTCTGTATACATCAACATTGTTCCGTCTGATTCCTCTCTGTCTTTCTATCTCTTTAGATTAAACTTCATATCTTTCTCTCTAATATTCACTCTCTTTTCCTCTCTCCTTCCCTAAGTCATCTCCTCTTTCTCTTTTTCTCACGTTCGCCTATATTTGTTTTACATACTATTGTATTAATTTTACATGTATATCGAGTGGACAGAGAAAGAGAGGGGGGAGAGAAGAGAGAGAGAGGGAGAAGGAGAGAGATAAAGAAAGAAACTTAATAACTTAAAAATTTAAAACTTAAACAATAGAATGTGGAGAAGGTGAAGAGGAAAAATATATGAGAGAGCGAGGGGAAAATACAGAGATCGGTTAAACGAGGGGAAGTGGAAGCAGAAATTAATTTTACATGTATATCGATTATCTACATTTTTATTTCTTTTTCTTCATCCATCCAGTATAGGTGGAAATAGATGGAGAGAGAGAGAGAGAGACGGACTAAGAAGAAAAAAACAAAGAGCAAGCGTGTCGATGAGTGTACTTCTGACTTAGAGTTGGGGGAGCAATGTAAGATTGAGCGGGGGAGATAGATCAAATAGAGAGAGAGGGGAGAGAGAGAGAGGAAAAAAATAATGAAAAATGTATAATGTTTATGTACATACAATATGTAAAACAACAATGAAAACAATTCTGAAAGGGGTAAATACACACAGCTTTCCTCACATCATGCCTGACATTTCTTGTTTGGTTCATGTTTTATTCCTCCAAATAAACAGAACAAAAAACATCAATAGCGATTTCGTGAAAGTAATATATTCATCAAATACATGGATGTTCCATTACAGCAAGGAAATCATATACATAACAAATACAATCTACATCGCATGATCTACGTACAAATAATGAAAATTTGAGGTTTTAAAGCTAAGATCTTTTAAAAAAGGAAAAAGAAAAAAAAAGGGACTTAAAACACCCTCTAACTCCACCCACCACCTAACCTACTGCTACTAAAAATTAAAAAAAAAATAAAAATAAAACCTCTACCCGCTACCCCTCCCCCCCCCCCCCTCCCCGAGCCCCTGCATACTCACTTATATAGAAAGGTTATAGTTACATAAAATGTAGTTAACAACCGTTTGTAAGAGCAATAGAATAAATGGGAACCTATACAGTGAAACCTGTTTATTAAATACCTGTCTTTATAGATCATTTTTTTGTTTCATTTGAACATTAGTCCCGGCCCCTCCACTCAGTGTTATTTAGGGCACGCATATGCATGTTCCCTCCTTTTGAAAACGCCCCCTAAGTCCGGTGTGTAAAGTCTTTTTTTTGTGTACGTACGAGCCCGACTTTGGTGCGTGAAAAGCACCCCTTTACCGGACATTTTGGTAACACGCATGGCATCCCTCCGCTCAAGGAGTGGGGGGGGGGGGGGGGGACATTATTTCCTCTTGAGCATGGGTGTCGATCCTGGGGGGATATATCCTATGGGGGGATATATCCTAAACTGAATTCAGACAAGGATTTAGCGTCGAGAACGGTACAACGAATCGTCTTCTTTCTCTAATAATATAATGAAACGTCAAAGCTTCCGCTTCGCGCGGGAAGGGGGGGGGGGGGACTGAATTCAGACAAGGATTAAGAGTCGAGAACGGAACAACGACAACGAATCGTCTTCTATCTTTAATAATTTAACGAAACATCAAAGAGAAAACTCCAGCTCCCTGCACCCACCCCCCCCCCCCCCCCCCCCCCCCTAGGGAGCGCGCTTCGCGTTCTCACTTACGCCCCCCTAAAATAAAATCCTGGCTACGCGCTTGAGAGGATAATAACCCAGGTAGCAAGCCCATGTTGGGACCCACATGGGTCCCATATTCTCTGAAATGTTATCTTTATTGAGGGTGACTTGAAAAAGTTAATAACTTCGAAGGGAGGGGGTACAGCCTGCGACACGCTTGTATCCTTGGTTGCTTTGTTCCATTGCCGAAAATATTTTGGCGCCTATCATCCCCCCAACCACGGATACAAATCGACACTCTTGCTCTTGAGACTTGCACATCTGTCAAGACCAGAGGCCTATAAAAACAGTTTTCAAGTCTACTGCCTGGACGCGTCTTTTTTAATCTAACCTTGCCATCCTACCGCTGCATTTGATTGGCTCAATAGAAACTTAATACGTCATGCGCTAGTCATAAATATTCATGATACGCACGCACACAGAATATGATGCGATAATTTATCAAATAATGAAATTTCATACAAAAATTACAAGTGCAAATTAAAGGGATAGTTGAGTTCTTGTTTCAGACCGCGAATGCCTTCACAGCGCATGGTTATTGCTCTTAATTATTCTTGTTTATGACATTTCTAGTGCTCTTTTAGGACCTGAAATTGTTATGAAGATAAGTTTAAACCCCAAAGTGTGTGAAATTTAGCCAATATGATCATACCAATTCAGCTCCACTTTCAAAAAATTATAGTGACCGTTAATTGATTAATTAATTACTATTAACAATACACGGCCCGGCTTGTTGTGCATATTATAATCAACACGAAAAAGCCAACATCAGCATTGGCTGGAATAGAACGTATAAGGCCCTATTTCGTTTTATCAACGGCTGGTTCAAATTTTCGAATATTTGTGGTGGTACACAAATTTTATATTTATGGATATTTCAGCCGTCTCTGAACCGATTTTGTCATTTAATTTGTATGTTCTTTCAAATTTGATACTCAGTTTTTCATTATCTCACAAACAAAATATTTAGTGTAGCGGCCTCTGCAACAGAACTCAACTATCCCTAGTTAAATTATGTTTTTTTTTTAGAATAAATGACATTGCGAGAAATTCGAATTTTCCCTACCCGGAGGCTTGCCGTGGATTTAGAGACCGTACGCGAACCGTCCGATTTTCATTTCTACGGCATGTGTGGTCACATATTCTGCGGCGCCCGGGAGGTGCCCGGAGAAAATTGGTCGAGTGAAATGCAAGGCGCCCGTAAGGGTGCCGGCAGGGTGCCGGCCGAGTGCCAACCGGTAACCTTACGGGCTCCGTCCGATGAGAAGGTGTACCGGAAAGTGCCCTGCCGGGGCCCGGTCGGGGTCCTCAAGGCGCCCGGCCGGCCTACCGAAAATACAATCTTTAGAAATACAGCCTAGCGATAGAGGGAGTTTATCAATGTATTCCGATTATCGACATTATTTCCTGCTAGTGGGGATTTATTCTTTTACATATTTAGGCAAACAATGCAAATCTACTTGTATATCCGTCAAAGTATTGAGGTTTTAATCATTTCCACTGAATCCGATATCGAACACAAATGATATGATTAAATTGTTATTGATATATTCCCCCTCCCTACACCAGAAAGAGAAGAAGAAAATAAAACGGATTTTGCACTAAACCACCACCCTCAGGCCAAAATGAAACCATTAATTCTCAGCATTGGTAACAAGCAGAAAAGAGGTGAGAAGAATAAACCCCATGGCGGTCAGAAATGCAATGAATCGTGCACGACATAAACATAAACATTATTATCCAATTAATGCGCCATGGCATAAACATATAATTTAATTCCAATATGATTAGGATAAGTAGGTGATCATAAACTGATTTTTGCAGTATTGGCAATGCAGGCATTGTAATGTGGATCAATTATTAAAAAACAATTTCCGCCATTCGAGGCCAATATGTAAAAACAACAACAAGAGAAGGAAAATGGCCTCCATAGTTGATGTCTTGATGACGTCACTTTATCATTAAACAAATAAAGTTAACACGCCAATGATGAAGCTCGATTCATCTACAAGCTAATACTAATATCAAATATAGAAAGAAAAAACTACTTCATGTATTGAATTATATTTATTAAATTTCATTGATGTACATCAATAATCTGTTTATAAACATATAAATCAATTTGCAATGCAATATAACAAATCAAAATTATGTTTGTAAATATATATTAATTAACAATGCAGTGTAGAAAAACAGAAGGAAAATTTTGTATAGCACAAAAAACTCTTTTTTCTTCTTGTAAAACATGACACATAGTGCATAAAATAAATATTATAATGTTCCATAAAACATCCGAAGATTTACCTAATATAGCAATTTTCTAAATAAATTATAACTCAAGCTTTACAAAATAGGCACATGAGGTACATGGAATGCAATAGATAATCGTTTCGCCTAAAATAAATGACGTAATAGTAGCCTACCTATACATATATGCGACCTACTGTAAATTTAACCCAAAACATAATACTGTAAATTTTGCCATGTCTATATAGGTTGGGTCGTTGACGTTTAATACATTAGATCGAAAACATAACAAAAATACAGAGAAAGTAATAGGGTTGTATACTTATTTTTTTCCATTTTTTTTTTTTTTTTTTTTTAAATAATAAAAAAAACAACTTTGTTGTTACATAGTAGGCCTATGTAAAAGTTACCCCTCACTGCAATTATGTTTTTGGGGAACGGCGAGAAAATATCTATGATATGTCTAGTATGTGTTTTAGTTATATGATAGTCATTACAGTCATTACAAATCGAAACGAATGAACCATTTTACTCCTTACTGCTAAATCTTTTCGGGGGGGGGGGGGGGGGGGGGGGTTAACTAGCGCTTTTTTTTTTTTTTTTTTGGGGGGGGGGGGGGGGGGGGACGAAATGCGTTTTGCCCCCAACTCCTGCCCCTTACTTCCGGCACCTATGACGATCACCTTAATGGGTGGTTCATACCAGGCGCGGATCCAGGATTTCTTAGGGGAGGGGGCCCAACTTTTTTTTTTTTTGCTCCCGAAAATTTGAAAATCGCGCCGGCCGAAAAGTCGCTCAGTGGGGGGGGGGGGGGGGGGGGGGGGGGGGGTAGTGAGCAAATTTTTTTTTTTTTTTGACCCTCAATTTTTTTTGCTCCCGAAAATTTGAAAAACGCGCCGGCCAAAAATTCGCTCAGTGGGGGGGGGGGGGGGGGGGGGGGGGGGGGGGGGGTAGTGATCGCATTTTTTTTTTTTGATCCTCAAAATTTTTTCAATTTGCACCCCCCCCCTTGAGCGCCAGGGGGGGGCCCAACCCCCAAAAAAGGTAAAAATCACGTGATTTTACATGATTTTTTTCTCAAGGGGGGGGGGGGGGCCCGGGCCCCCCCCCGTGGATCCGCCACTGGTTCATACAATAATTGCATGAATTCTGTATATAAACACTGTTGTAAATAGCTTTTATTTTATGATATGAACAAATAAAGTCCCTCGAAAGAGGATGAATAGAAAAAATAAAAAAAATAATGGGTGGTTCAGTTTCTGGGAACTTGTAGGGTGGTAGAGGCAGAAGACTGAGATTGAGTATTAATGGGATTGCTTCACGGTGAGAAGATTAAATTCATATTAGGCCTAATAACTATCATTCTTATTCCAAGTAGGGCCTTTGTTGATTTGCCTTCATACTGCAATGTATTCAATTACTGACAGACAATTTCCCGTTGATAATGACGGAAAAGTATAAAGAGGAAGTGTCGTGGTATGGAGGTTCATTCAACTTGACTCTTAATCCAAGGGGCGATCGAGGGGTCGAATCCCGGCCCGTATTTTAGGAAAAAATTAATTCCAGTGTCGACGGCATAACGAAATCGGTCAACATTAAAATAGCATTATAAAAGAGTGGCGCTTATACATTACATTTCGGCAGAGGCTGACAAGGCAGGGGCACTGAGAGGACTTCTTTTGGAGTATTTAAAGTTCCGACATTATATGAACCATCATCTCATAATGATTCGGGCAAAGAGGTGCCTCATATATTCTCCTATTCAGACAATGAGGTGCCTGAATATTCATTTTATCTGGTGTTTGTTGGTGACTATTATGAGCTGTGACAACGGAGACCAGGCAAGAGTAGATATTAATATTTATACGGTGCATTTTTCCATTTGACAGAATAACATTCTAAAGTGATTGGGTTCAGTAAGTTTGTTGAATTCCACGTTTCATCTGCAAAACTGAAATTTACTCCCATGTCTCATTGAAGATGTAAAGCCTATTATTAGTGCAGAAGGCAATCTCTCCCGTCTTGAATGTTTGCAAAAAGCTATCACATAAGTAATACGTCGGTGATGGCGTTATCTTGAAATCAGTGAAAATATTTTTGATGTATTTGAGCTCTTTTGTGTACTGAACGATGCTCAGCAGACCCTGGCCGAGCTTAACCCATGCAATGATAACTGAATCATCCTGACATACAGTAGGGTAAGGTATATAAACCATCTTTGCCGATGCTATGAATAATAGCACCCGACACATCGTTGATCACTTGTACCTGAAACTGAAAGTTGGTAATGCATGTACTCTTAACTGCAATCGCTGGACTGGATGTCATCGCAAACATCTGCGATGGTTGAAATCCGTCACACGTTATCTCTCTTATTGCTTTCCCCCTTCTGGCTTAAATACCTGTATTTTCTGGCTTAAACTGTAACCTATGAAGATCAGCCCATCCTTGCCTACAGTGAGACCGCCATATTCACCTTTGATTGTCTCAAACGTTACATCAAGCTTTTCACAAAGCTCTGTGTACAAGGAAATGCTGTTATTGGTGTCGCGTATGACGTACCCACCATCAGGCATGAAGTGTAAGGCACGAACTTCAACAGATTTCAGAACGGTACCTTCTTTGATGCCCTCATAGGAATAAATGACTATTCCTCCGTTTTGACAACCAACAGCCATCTCGTTGTTTGGTGATATTACCATCCCGGACATGCTGTTTCCAGGCGGCAGTGGAGCCTCCGTGCGCAGAAGCCATTTAGACTTCTTTTGTCTTAAATGGCCCAACCGGAGTTCATCCGATCCGTGACTCCTGAAGCCAATTCTTTCACCTTCCTCAGCAGTTCTCCTGGGCAGCTCCTCATCTGGCCTAAACCGGTTTAGAAGCTCTTCCAGCTGTTGACACATCGCTTCATGTGAGGTCAGACCCTCTGTCTGGTGTGGAAAATTAAGACCATTCTTAACCAACTCAAGAACCTTCTTAATCTGGTCTATCTGCTTACATATCTGCTTCTCCACGTCTCCCAATGAAGTCTTAAGTTTCCCTAGCTTGTGTTCGACTTCTTTTTTCAACACCGTCTTTCTTTTCTTCAATTTCTCAACTGATTCCTCAAAAGCCGCATCTATTTCACCATTGAGTCGTTTCTGTATGTTATGCACCCTTTTACGCTGGTCTTCAACAAAAGTGAAATACTTGTCAACATTGCGTATCTTTGCATCCGCTTTAGATGCAAGTTTCTCGACGCGATTATTTTGATCAGTTTCATGTTCGCCTGCTTCCAGGATAGTGTGAGCATTCTTTGCATGCTCTAATATGCCACACTTGCAGCAAACATACTTGTTACAGTTGAGACAAAAACATTCTTCATCGTAGTTCGGATGTTTTCGACATTTGTTCCGTTTTCTTTGGAATGATTCGTTTTCTTGATTACTGTTGGAACCGAACTGACCCTGGGTCTCCACATCTTCAACTAGTGATCTGACTGTTCTGTTTGATTGCAGTCTACCCACGTCTCCACCAGGAACCCAAGTCTCCTCCCTGCACGTAGGACACAACAGCTTCCCACAAGACTCCAGGAGAGTCTCAAGACAACCCTTGCAGAAGGTATGGGAGCAGGTCAAGTTCTTTGGTTCCTTGAAGAAGCTGAGGCAGACAGGACACTCGAGGTTCTTATGGACAGCCTGCTTGAAGGAAGTAGCCATCTTTGACAACTCCAGCACACGACCTGAGGAACGAGAAAAAAAATTGTGAATCAATTGGCTAAGCTAACTCTTCAAAATATTTTGTAAATACTTAGCTGGCTATTATTGTATTGAAAATGTTAAACATAATGCATTCCGTGATTAATAGGGCCTACCTGGTACAACATTATAAGAAATTACTGTACGCTTCTTTTTAGCACTTACGTTACGATCGAAGTAGCTCTAACTGCGACTTTGCTTTCAGTATTAGAGGCGTATGATAATGTGTCATTCAGCAATGCAGTTGTATGAGTATGTTATTTTATCGAGTGGAAATTCCCAATGACATTCAACGGCATTCAACACAGGAAGTAATATGTTAACAGTTTAACCTTTGCACTTGGGATCCTTCCGCTAGACCAAACCGTGCACCCACGCCAGGCGCGGATCCAGGATTACTTAGGTTACTTAGATTACTCGTACGTAATGGTGACCAGCATGCAGCGACGTAATAGCAAAATCGTTTGGGTGGCAGACAAAAAATTGGCATCACCCCATTCTCTTACATGCAGGCCCCGCTGAACTTTTTTTCAAAGTGGGTGGGGGGAGGCTAAAGTATTTACGATCAGGTAGAGCGTAGCATAAATTGGCGTAGGGTCTAAAGGCAAAGCCCCGGCGGGGGTCAAGGGCGGAGCCCCCGGAAGCTCAGGGTATGGGCATTTAATTACGGTCAGATGAGCATATTTTGATACCTAATTCATGAAACTGGCGGGTTATTAATTGTTGTATGGTCAAGGGGCTGACCTCCATGAAACTCAGGGATTTGAGTCATTTTATAACGGTCAGATAAGCATTCAGGGGTCCGCCTTTGGCCCCCTGGTGGTGTCCAGGGGGCAGTGCCCCCGGAGGCTCAGGGGTTTAAGGCATTTAATTACGGTAAGATGAGCATTTTTTGATACCTTTTTTGTGACACTGGCAGGTCACTAATTGGCGTGGGGTCTAGGGGCGGAGCCCCGGGAGCTCAGGGGTTTTAGGCGTTTAATTACGGTCAGACAAGCGCGTAGCTAGGATTTTATTTTAGGGGGGCGGTAGTGAGCACGCGATGCGTGCGAATCACTTACAGAGCGCGCGTAGCGCGCACCTTAGGGGGTGGGGTGCGGGGAGAGGCGAGTTTTCCCCTCCCTCGTACGCGAAGCGCGAAAGCTTTGACGTATCATTCAATCATTAGAGAAAGAAGATTATTTGTTATACCGTTTTCAACTTTTAATCCTTGTCTGAATTCAGTTTCCCAACCCTCCTGCGCGGAGCGCGGAAGCTTTGACGTTTCATTAAATTATTAGAGCAAGAAGACGGTTCGTTGTGCCATTCTCGACTCTTAATCCTTGTCTTAATTCAGTTTCCCCCCCCCTCCTGCGCGAAGAGCGGAAGCTTTGACGTTCCATTAAATTATTAGAGAAAGAATCCTTGTCTGAATTTTAAAAATGTTCTTTGTCTGCTCCTTTTTCTTCCTATGTCCTCTTCCTTTTTCTCCTCTCTTTTTTGTTGTTGGGGGGGGGGGGGGTGGGGACCTTATTGTGACACTGGCAGGTCACTAATTGGCGTGGGGTTCAGAGGGCGTAGCCCCCAGAACCTCAGGGGTTTTAGGCGCTTTATTACGGCCAGATAATCATGCAGGGGCCCGCCTAAGGGATCTTGGTTTGGTCCAGGGGGCAGAGACCCTGGAAGCTCAGGTGAGCATTTGTTGATACCTTATTATGTTGTGACACTGGCTGGACACTATTTGGCTTGTGGCACTGGCGTACTGGTGGGGGGGGGGGGGCTTGGGGGCGCCAGCCCTCCCCTACCCCCAAATAAAATTGAACCATGACTTATTTTAAATTCCATATACAAGGGATGTATAAATGTTCGTGATATCACATGATTTTCAACAAAATGCGCGTTTCTCCATTTCTGTTGCAAACTGACACATTCCCAAATGGCCAGGAAGAGCATATGTTTTTTTTATAGTCACTAAGGGGCCGTGGCCACTAACAGTAACACTAGTAAAAAAATCCTTTCCAGAAGCAACTGTGACAAGTCTCTGCACATGTACCGTTAAAGGTACTATGTCCTATCTGCAGGCCAAAAAAATGAAAAGGTTAAATTCCAACGGCATTTGAAAGATAATACTACCTTAGAACTTCCTTTAAAAAGGTGGGGCTTGAAAATGTCTTTAAGTGGGAAAATAACGATTATTAGTTGTCAAATCGACTTAGGAGCTTTAGAGCCAATAAGTAATAGTCTTGATAGTACCTATAAGGGGCCCAGCGGGGGAAATTGAATTCAGACAAGATTAAGAATAGTGAACGGTACGACGAATCATCTTCTTTCTCTAATAATTTAATGAAACGGCAAAGCTTCCGCGCTTCGGGGGGGGGGGGGGAAACTGAATTCAGACTAGGATTAAGAGAAGAAAACGGTACAACGAATCGTCTTCTCTTATAATTTAATGAAGTGTCAAAGCTTCCGCGCTTTGCGCGGGAGGGGAGGGGGAACTGAATTCAGACAAGAACACGAAACAACGAATCGTCTTCTTTCTCTAATAATTTAATGAAACGTGAAAGCTTCTGCGCTTCGCGCGGGATGGGCGACAATGAATTCAGACAAGGATTAAGAGTGATTATTTATTGAAACGTCAAAGCTTCCGCGCTTCGCGCGTGATAGGCGAAAATGAATTCAGACAAGAATTAAGAGTAATAGTTTAATGAAACGTCAGAGTTTCCGCGCTTCACGCGAGATGGGCGAAAATGAATTCAGACAAGGATTAAGAGTCGGAACTGGTCCAATGAATCGTCTTCTTTCTCTAATAATTTAATGAAGTGTCAAAGCTTCCGCGCTTTGCGCGGGAGGGGGAAACTGAATTCAGACAAGAACACGATACAACGAATCGTCTTCTTTCACAATAATTTAATGAAACGTGAAAGCTTCCGCGCTTCCCGCGGGATGGGTGAAAATAAGTTAAGTAAGGATTAAGAGTAATAATTTATTGAAACATAAAAACTGCCGCGCTTTGCGCGGGAGGGGGGGGGGGGGTAACTGGATCCAAACAAGAATTAAGAGTCGAGAACGGTACAACGGATCGTCTTCTTCCTCAAATAATTTAATGAAGTGTCAAAGTTTAGGCGCTTCGCGCGGGAGGGGGAGACTAAAAGATGACTTAGTTCCTGGCCCCGGGTTTATAGTGTTAAATTTGTAGACATTTGGACATTGGCATTTTGTCGGTAATTGGTTGCTCATTTTGTCGGTAATCGGTGGCCTCTACACCCACCCCACTCCCCCTCTGACAACGATCTAGCGACGCCCCTGATATCAACACACTCGAGAACAAATTTGCAAGTACTACTGATAAAGTACCGGACCACCGTCTTTGTGCATTGTGCGGCATCAAAGACGTGACAGATCACTTTTCTCTAACTTCTAACCAATCAGAAGGCCTCGTTTTTTCCCCGGAAGTGCCGGTGGACATTAATGCGCCAAATGTGTTTCCCGGAAATTGCAAAAGATCCCTACTCTTGGAAAAAGTAGGAGAAAGCAATTTTACGTCATATTACTCCAAGAAGTGCCTGAAAATGCGTCTAATTTGGTTCTAAAATTGCAAATGCTTTTTACTCTGGGAGGGGGCCAGAACCCCCTCCCGGACCCACCCCGCTTGGTCGCTACGCTCCCTCGCCGCTAAACCCTCGTTCTGTCGCTTCATCGTTTTACATGTACTTAACCCCATGCCACCCCCCGGTAAGAAATTCCTGGATCCACCACTGATGCCCATACCCCTTGAGCGTCGGGGGCTCCGCCCCTAGACCCCACTTTGCGAAACATTCAGCGGGGCCTGCATGTTAGAGTGGGGTGCTGCGGATTTTTTTTTGTCAGCCCCCCCCCAACGTTTTTGCTCATTACGCCACTGGCTTGTGGTCAGGGGTTTTTAGGCATTAAATTACCGTCAGATGACCATCTAAGGGCCCACCTTTGGGCCCTAGGTGGGTTCTAGGACAATTACCCCCTGGGCAATCACCCCCCGGAAAATTACCCCCGGAAAACTACCCCCAAGGACAATTAATTGTCCTCGGAGGGGTAGTTGTCCTCGGGGGTAATTATCCTCGGGGGTAGTTGGCCTTTGGGGGGGGGGGGGGGGGAGTCGTCCTCGGGGGTGATTTTCCATATGGAAACGTTTGCTTGTATTTGTCTCATAAAAGTATTTGGCCACACACTGACTCCCACACGGTGTTGAGTGCTCAGGGGTCACAGGTCACTGGCTTCATCGGACAGGTAGTTCCTTAAAGTGAATGGGTTATTTAACTATTACAAAATGAGGGGACACATTACATTGTACACTAGGGACACACACTGTTTTTATTGTGCAGAACATACTCTGTTATTGACTTACTTATTGCATGAACTATAAAAACCAAAATGCATTTTGTATTTTAACAATTGGAGTACAAAGAATAATAACAGGTGAATGAAATGCATAAACACCACAAACACCTGGGGAGGAAGCATTCATAAATTTGAATACATATAGTTGATAAACGACTCCGATGAAACTATAAAACCAAAATGAAATTTGCTTTCTAGCAATTGGAGTACAAAGAATGATAGCAGGTGAATGAAATGCTTCAACAGGAACACAAACACCTGGGAAGCTAGGAAGCATCCATGAATTTGAATAATTTAGTTGATAAACGACTCCGCATGTGGACGTTTGTTGGAGCAGAAAGCGGTGGATTCTTAACAACGCGAACCCATTTAACAGAATGTCGGAACGTAAATTAAATTTGGCGCAGTTGGAAAATGCATCTCTTTACCCTGCGACTTTAATGGTACGATCCAGTAAATTAAAAGAGTAAGATGGCTCTTATTTTAAAATTACTCATTAAATAAAACCCAAAACTTCAGTGATATCAGAAAAAATATGTTATATCTTACTAATAATTAAAAAAGATGTATAAACATTGTGAAAGTGTCGCATTGTACGATAAAAGACACCGATTTAGCGAAGATGACGTCATTAGTGCGCTTGCATCAGGGAATTCAAGGTCAAAAGGTCAATTCAGACGCTGATAAGTTAATGGTCGAGCCTTTTTGTTTCCTTTATTCCGACAAAATTATGACAATCAATCAAAACAAGTTTAATACCAGAACTGAAGAAAGCTTACGATTAATATTTTCATTAACCGCTTGCCTCAAAGACGCTTGACCACTGTGAAACGAGTGAGAGCTTGCGAGAGCGGCCAAAGTGTGATTGAAACTCGCTATTTGCTCTTCTCCAAAGCAAAAAGAGACGACATTGTGCTGGATAAATGTATTTTTTCCGACAAAAGTACAGACAATTTGCATATGGTATTTTTATATGATACTTTATGAAATGTTACCCGAGTGACTTCCGGGCGCCCCAATGCTTGAAAGAAACGCACATTTTAGAAAACTTTACTTTTTCATGGAAAAATGCTTATTTGTTCTATGCACGCAAGTCAGATTGAGCGGATGATACAACCTTTCCATATGGGGTGTAATTTTCCGGGGGGTAATTGTCCTTTGGGGGTAATTGTCCTCGGGGGTAGTTGTCCTCGGGGGTAATTTTCTTGGGGGTAATTGTCCTTTGGGGGTAATTGTCCTCGGGGGTTAATTCTCCGGGGGGTACTTTTCTGGGGGGTAATTTTTTCGGCCGGGTAATTGTCCTTCGGGGGTCAATTTTCCGAGGGATGATTACCCCAGGGGGTAATTGTCCTGATACGCCCTAGGTGGAACCCAAGGGGTGGAAACACCGAAAGCTCGGGGGTTTTAGGCATTTAATCACGGTCATATGAGCATATTTTGATACCTCATTATTCTGTGACACTGGCAGTTCATTATTCTTTATTTCTTGCTCTCTTTCTTTCTATAAATTTCTCTTAAATATACTTTTTCAAAAAAAGTGGGGGATGGGAGGGAGCTCGAGGCTCCCGATCCCATCCGTTCCGCTGGTCCTGACATGTAGGCATCTCAATAAGCATATTTCTTGCCTGACTGTAAATTTAGGAATTTGTCATTTCCCCCAACCCCCCCCCCCCCCTATCAGCACGCCAGTGCCCCCCCCCCCCCCCCGATCTACACCTAATTGTTGGCGGCGAAAACCGCAAATGATCTCCCTGACCTTTCTTCTTTCTCTTTTTTTTTTGCTTTCCCTTTCCCTTCCCTTCCTTCTCTCTTTTTAGTTTGCTAGGGGAGGGGGGGGGGGGGAGGCAAGGGCATTTCGCCCCCCCCCCGATCCACACGTTGTTGGTGGGACTGGATTAACCGCAACTGATCTCCTCCTTTTTTTATTTTACCCTTTTCTTTACTCTTTTGTGTTCCCTTTTAGCTCTCCTCTTTCCCTTTCCCTTCCTTCTCTCTGTTTTTTAGCTGGGGCGGGGCAGGCAAGGGGCTTTTGCCCCCCCCCCCTCGATCCACAACTTGTTGGCGGGAAAACTGATATCCCACATCTTTTCTTTTCTTCTTCCTCTATTTTTTCCTTCCCTTTAACTCCTATTTTCCTTTTTTCTTTCCCTTTCCTTCCTTCGCTCTAATTTGTTTGATGGGGGGGGGGGGGGGGGTAGGAGGCAACATCCTGGGAGGCAAGGTCCTTCAGCCCCCGATCTCCTTCTTCCCCCTTTTCTTTTCTTCTTCGATCCTCTTCTTTCCCTTTCTCTCCTCTTTCCCTTTCCTTCTTTTCCTTTTCTCTCTCTCTCTCTCTCTCTCTCTCTTTTTTGCGGGGGGGGGGGGGGGGCAAGGGCCGCTGCCCCTGGATCCGCGCCTGAATCCGCTTTCCACCCTGGTGTAAACTATTAAATGTATTATTATTATTATTGAGGGTCTATCAAAGACAATGACTTGAATTGAGAGTAAGCTCGGATGCATGAAAAATATAAATCAAAAGCCTATGTCAGCAGGCTTTTCGAATATTATGCTTGACTTAAGTTTTGAGTGTCCTATATATCCACCAATACGTTCCGTTCTATTTAATTACTCGATCTCTGTCACCCACTTCGATCCGTCTCTAGCTTCCTTTTCCCCTTCCCCTTTAATCTTCTCCTTGATTAGTTTACTCTCTTTTGTCCTTCCTCTCTTTTCCCTCATCCTGTTCCCCGTTCACTCTCTTTCCACTGGAGCGCCTCTCCGTGTTGCTGTCGAGGGTGTGGGGGTGTGGGGGGGGGGGGGGCTATAATTACCCCTCCCCCTCGCGGCGTCCTTCGGTGACGCGGACCCCGCCCCGCCCTTTTCCAGGATGATTCTCACGAAGAACAGAGTCGTCATTCAAAATATTACGATGTAAGATTAGTGTTACATTCGCCTAAAAATATGTATATATATTCATGCATCATAGTTTTTGTAGGCTAATGATATTCTTGTTCTTTTATTCTTCTTCCTTTTTCCTTCCTTCATCTTTTCATCATCATTAAACACTTCCTTCATGATAAGAATGTTATACTATCTCAATATTATTACTGTATGGCTATATCACAAGCTGAGGAAATGAGATAATGCATCAGTCTTGAATCCCGATGTATGATGGGATATTTTAGATGGGGAAAATGGCGACGCTCTGTGCCGTCTAAATGTCAATTCTGATGTCAGTTAACAATGAAATTGATTTGATTTTCGTCGTTCTGTGATGGGTAAGAACAACTGTATAGTAATCTCTTATCTGAATTTATCAACTTCTGTAATACTAGGTGTATTCATTTAATATTTTGGTGTGTCTAGTGTTTTATTCATGATTTAGATAGCGCAGGGTCGCGTATTTTCTCGCCGAGTTGCACTGAATGAATGAGTAGGTTGCACTGGCACGGATTGCGATTGGGAGAGCGCTAGCCCGGCGGCGCGGCGCCGCGTCGCGTCGGACCCAATTTCGGCTTTTGCAACTTGCACTTGTGACACAAGTTCGTCAATGATCGACGATTTGGTCAACTTATCTGGATGGTTTGCCGTGTGTTTAATGTAGATCTATAACTATTGTGCTAATCCTAATGCTTGCCTTGATCTCGAGAAAGAAGTCCACTTGCCAGTTGGGCCTTTGTTTTGGCAATCAAGTCTCATTTGATTGATTTTGATTTCAACTGACCTGTGAAAATTACGGAAAGTGAAATGAGACTGACAGTAGGGGCGCTGGTCCGAGAATGAGGATCGTTCTTCTTTATGCGGCCAAAATATGCCCTAAAAAATAAGGATCATCCGTATTTTGGCAGACGTTTTTTTCTTTGACTTTGGTGCTCTGCGGTTTCCGGGTTCCCGATCCGCACGCTAGCAATGCGAACAATGGATTCCCCGTATTAAATGCCCCCTGTTCACTCTCTACTTCTATGGGTTTTCCATCTTCCTGAGGATTTAGTGCTCATAACGTGAAAGTCTCTGTACAAAGTCAATTTAAAATGCATCAGGAAAATCATTGCGGAACCAGTTTTTAAATCGGAATCGTCAGCGAAAAATTCAGACCATCCTTATTTTTTGCAGACGTGCCTGTCTGCGTTTACGAAGACAATCCTCGTTTTTGCGGATGATCCTTATTCTCGGACCAGCGCCCCTACTGACCGAGCTGAGAGAAAGTCATTCAATATCGACAGTGTTGTACAGACTCTACAGATAGTGGGGTTGAATAATGGATGGGGGGGGGGGGTGGTAGAGGTAGACTTCTTCACTGTCGCCAATATTATAATCAAGAATTTTGCTCAGAAATATCCACAGATATTTTACAGAATGGATACATCCCACTTGTGCATTTTAGAATAATCACTGCCGAAGTGATGGAGGTGCTTCATGAATACCTTTTGTTTGCCTCTTGAGAAGAATACTTCCACCTGTGATCAGATAAATGTACTGTTGGTGCATAAATGAATACTGATTACCGGTACATAGATTTCATGAGCAATTTATATACCAGTATTTGTCTTGATGGGTTTTAACATTTGGGAATAAATTACCTTTATCTGCCTATGCTCAGATAGTATTTACGAACTGGCTTATAGAGACAGACTCCCAAATAGGAAAGAGGTTCTAAAGCCAATATTGGCCATGCGCCTCTACTGTTTAAAATGCATTACTGTTAAAGAATAATCCGTCATTAAAGTGCCAAATCTTGTGCCTGCAGTGAGTGCATGTGTCCATGATGTAAATTATTCTACACCTCGTTTCAGTTTTCAAATTACAATTATTTAAATCGTCCTGATTTTCTTTTCCAGGTTTCTAGGAACCCAAGGAATGGCTAATCATCTAAGAACTGGAGGTCCCAATGCCATTGATTCCCTTATCTATGATTCTGCTGCAGTTAAATTCAGTGCTAGTTTAGACCCGCTTATGGATTTAGACCAGAAAGACATTCTTGCCAGGCCGTTTATTTCAGATGCTAAAATGGAAGGTAAGTTATTAAAGGTATTAGGTAACTTTGCCTAGAGCCGATTCTAAAGAAAATGCTGGATTTAGCTCGTGCTGCAATCATTATAAACCTTTAGGTCAGAAATGAATCCCATGACTTTAACAAGCCAACCGCATGTTTGATTATCAAGATATTTCTGATTGGAATTAGAAATTTCAGAAACCATTGGGAAAACGGTTACGAAGAGTTTTTGGCTCGCCTGCGTAGCAAAAAGCAGGACATATGTGCCGCTTTTTTTATACCTTTCTGAGATACCGTTCGTTTGGAGTCAGAATGGCATTAACTCCTTTACACTTTATCTGAGAGTCAACGCCCGTAGTATTGGTTATCTTTTGTTGCTATACCGTGTGAGTCCAAAAAAAGTTTACACCTAGAAAATTGCTAATTATTTAAAAAATCTTCTATGAACAGTAAAATATTAAACATCTTATGAAAGAGTGTTTAATCCCAAATTAGTTGGTATCATTTTTGTGTGGTATGTGTTCATGCTTGGATGAACAGGAGGCATTGTTTGCGAGAGTGCAAAAATCGACTTGCGCCAAAGGGTCATTCCATGTCAAATCACCCAATGGTTTTAACCCGACCATTTTTGATTTTGATGAAACTTAGTGTACTTGTTGAGTGTGATCTCACAGCAGCAAATCCCAAATTTTAGGTCAATCGGGTAATTATCCTAGAACTGACTCAGAGGTCTAAAACCATACATCCTGTTAACCCTTTAGGCCTATATGAACTTGTCATTTTATTTCTATTCAAGTACTGCTGACATTTAGGATGGATATGACTAAAACAAAAAAGCATGTGGAAGATGTATGTTGTACTGTGCATATTGCATGTATTGTATACATTATAATAGGGCTTATTGTGAATATCTGTGAGCATGGATACTTTCAATCCTTATTGCTCCTAAACAAAAAATATTATATCTCTGAAACTTTTATATGTTTTAGTGAACATGTCAGAGATTACATTTCATGAAAAATGTTGTCAAAGTTACGTGATCCACAAGGTCAATTTCAAGGTCAAATCTGAGGTCAAGAGGTCAAAGTACCCCAACATGTACGAATCTTCAAAATGGCGGCAGATTTGGAATCCTTATTGAATACCCTTTCCAACAATACAAATTTTGAGAAGATTGACCCATTAGGTCCCGAGATACAAGGGTTCAAAGGTAGGCCCACCACCCCCATTTTGAAAAAATCTCAAAATTTGGTGGGCCGTATCTCCCAAACCCCTCACCCGATTGACCTAAAATTTGGGATTTGGTGCTGTGAGATCACACTCAACAAGTTCACTAAGTTTCATCAAAATCAAAAATGGTCGGGTTAAGATTTTCAGATTTTTTGGGTGATTTGACATGGAATGACCCCAAAGTGATGCCTACAGTACGTTGGGATTAGCAAAGTGAGAGAATAAATTGAATCAAATAAAATGATTTGCAGAAGAGAAGTCACACACACGCGCACCAATGTTTGTCGATATTTGATATGTGTGGCATGATTAATTTTGTTAGCGATGTTATTTGGATCTGCAAAATCCGAATTAATACCTAAATCCCAATTGTTTTATTCAAACATCACATAAGCAACTTTGGCGCAAGTCGATTTTTGCACTCTCGCAAACAATGCCTCCTGTTCATCCAAGCGTGAACACATACCACACAGAAATGATACTAAATATAAAACACTCTTTCATAAGATGTATAATAATTTACTGTTCATAGATGATTTTTGAAAGAATTAGCATTTTTCTAGGTGTAAACTTTTTTTTGACTCACACTGTATATGCTAACTAAAGAGCATGATTTAAACATAATAATAACTTATCAAAATCAAGTTGACTTATGATCAATTTGGATGAATTATAATTTTCTATAAACATTTGACGTTGTTTTATAACAAATCATTTATTTTTATTTTTTAACTCTCTCCTTTTCAGCTAATAACAATGATGAGGATTCTAGCTCAAGTTTTTTTTCTCCACTGGAACTGTATATCTAGAAATAAGTGTAAATGCACTCTTTTAGAATGTCTGGTCCTCGTTAAATAATATGCCATATTTCTTCATATCTTTCACTTCGGATGATAATCATGAGAACTACAGTTCTAATGGGACGCGATTTGAAATTTAGATGAAAGCAAAGTTCTCCTTATAAATACGTACCCATGGCATAACGAATACATGCAACTGGATGCCTACTGTATATCTACATCACCATGCAAGCTGATACTTATAAGCAGCATCTAACAAATATATTATCTCTCTCTTTTCAGCCAATAATAATTTTGAGGAGGAGGATTTGAAGTGTGTTGCTGAGATGGGCGACGCCCTAACTATGTTGGAGCCTCATCTAGGTGGTGGTGGTGGTGGTGATGAGGATGAGAGCGGAGAAGAAGAGGTCTGGGAGTCGGTCAGTGAGCTCGCGAGTGATGAAGGTTTGTACGTTAGGAGGTCAAAGGTCAAAGGGTCATTCACACGTGAAGCGATAAAGCACTCTAACCTATTTCTAATAATGATAATAATAATATTTGGTTCTTGTATAGCGCAAGGAGGCGTGATATCTCAGTCGGTAGAGCTGTGGTCTCGTAATCCGGTGCCCCGGGTTCAATACAACATCTTTTATTTTTAGGCCTAATACAAATCCCATCCTTAATGTCACTGGTAAACCTACATATAATCCTCATCGTTGTAACTAATATAGTCTTAATACTAGTATTCCTAATTCTAACTATTCATTTTGTTACAAATTGAAAATAGTTGTTTTGTATGATTATCATTATTTAAGAAATAATGTTCAAATCACTCACGTTTATTTACCATTTTCCTCTGTCTCTGATTTCAGAATATGTGACTGAAGAAGAAGAAGAAGAAGAAGTGGGAGAAGAAGGAGACTTTGAGGAAGAAGATGAAGACGATGATGACGACGATGACGAAGGTACATTTTTAAAATGTGGTCCTGAACATGCATAATCATGCATAATTTAATTCAGTCTTAGCCATTCTAAGTAATACAAGAACTTGTAATTTGCATGGACTTGTAGATATGATGTCTATTAAGCAAATATTAATCAACCAAGAGGGTAATGGTGCAAACTATCATCACCGAGGCGATGATAGTTTGTATCCATTGCCAGAGTAAAGGAGGTTAATATTTGTTTTATATCCCACATCGGCAATAAGGTCTATTTAAAGTGAATTTTACATAATTAAAACAACTGATTTTGCAGACAGTTTAGCTTCAGCTAGATTTTACAAAGCACAACATTTGTACATTTAATACAGTCGATGCGCGCTCATTTGACATTGACATTGACTTTGACATTTCGCGTAACCTACTTTGCTATGCTTATTCAATGCGCAAGTCGCGCAAGTGGGGCAGCAGCAAAAAATTACTTTACAAAAAGACCTATCTCAGGTAGATAGTACTTATCTATACCTTTTTCGTGCTCTGTACAATCGCAATGCAAACATTTACGTTGTATACATGAGGGATATAACTATCTATATTAATTTGCAGTTATAAAAACCAGATTATAAGCTAGGCACACATGACCAATTTGATACCAATAACAGTAAATATGCTGTATCTATAAAACATTGCTAGCTAGATTTACACCAATGAGCATTCAAAAACAATTTTCTCAATTCCAATATTATTTCTACCAACTTAACCAAGATGGAATAGTTATTTTGCAACCAGCCCTTAATTTGTGGGACATCCTAGATCAGAAAAGACTTTACTACTATTTCTAAAGCCCATTTTGGGGCTACTTTTAGACAGTAATGTTGTTTAGTTGATTAGTGATATGGCAATCGGTCAATTTGGAATATCACCAATAATTATTAAAAAAATCATATGTAATAATATATATGACTTCTCTCTTTTTTTTGGTAGTTATATTTTATTTTCTAAATAATTATTATAATTTTTGTTTAAAGATAAAATAGTATCATGCCAGGTTACCGAGTCATGTCGGTTCCAAATTGGCACCGTCCTGACAAACCTGCTCGTGTTTTTATAATGACAAAATGTTTTTATATAGCATAGCTCAAATCGAATCCCAATTGCACTGAATTTAAATTAAGTTATAATCTCTGTTACAATGTTCCTCTCATTGAACAGATGGAGAAGAAGGTGTCGACGATGAGGAGGAGGAGGAGGATGAAGAAGAGGAGGATGCGTACATCGAAGGAGAAAACGAGATGGATGATGCGGCGATATCAAGCGAGGACGAAGGAGGAGAAAAGTGTGCTATCTGCCTCCGTTCGTTTAATGATCAAGAAGTGGGCTCGCCGGAGAGCTGTGATCATACCTTCTGCTTCGAGTGTATCTATGAATGGTCAAAGGTGTGTTCCCCTTTTTAAAAATAGATTTTACTCTGTTTTACTTCGGTTTTGCCCCCTGTTCTGCCCATGATGTGTCCCGATTTTAGTTAGACTTTACAGGGGTGGTATTTGCATGTTAAAGGGATTTGGTATCTTTGTCTCAGATTCTAAACAAAATCCTGGATTTAGCTCGTGGTGCAATCATAATTATAAACCTTTAGGTCAGTCGGAAATCACATTACTTTTACAAACTGATCGCCTGAAGATATTCATGATTGGAATTCGAAATTTAGAAAAATGTTTTCCCAACAGATTTTATTACACTACAGTCTATTTGGGAAAATGAGTATGGAAAACCTTCACTTAAAGATTGTTACATTTTTGAGGTATTTCCTGATCATTTTGAAGCTCAATTTTTGTAGGGCTTCAATATTACACATTATTACCCGTATCAGACATCTGAGCTGGTCATTTACAAAACCGTATTGCCCTAGTTTTCACTAGCAGTGGGAACGGAGGGGTATATTCTTTGTATTTTCCTTGGTCTCCCTGCGCGTATTGACTTTGCGTGTAGAGACGAGTGAAAATATACCTTGGTATTTTCCACGGTCTCGCATTTTCATTGCGCATCTATTATGCGTACGAGAACCTGCGCACTTTGCGCGCACTCTATTGTGACGTAATAATCACACCAAATACACACTGTTTGTAGTGTATCGAAAATTTTGTCAAGCACTGGATGCACAGTGTTGGTTTGACAAAGTTTGTTCAGTTCTTGAGATTGTCATGGTGGATGTCTGTATTTGCTCTAGATGTCTGATTTGGATAACAATACAAATATTGACTGGCTTTACTTTCGGGGGATATCAGAAATATTGACCGCGCTAAGACCATATTGCCCTCGTCTTTCGACTCGGGGCAATATGATCTGAGCTTGGTCAATATTTCTGATATACCCCTCAAGGCCAGTCAATATTATATAATTATATCCCTTATCGTAAGATTGTTACATTAGGTGTGTACACTACAAGAAAAAGAATAGTTTGACTGTGAAAGACGTTTCCTGCCGACTAGATCGAAATAGTACATTTTTATTGATGACGTCACGCATAGTACCTTTTTTCCCTAGGGAAAAAAGGTACTATGCGTGACGTCACAATACAAAAACGCATATTCTTGAACTATGCGTTTTCCAAGCGAGCGCGTACATGATTTCAAATGCCTCTGCGCGGTCAACCCCGCGGTGTCACGGCGCTAGCTCAAGCCATATGCAATTTACACTGTGCGATAACTTGCGCCAGCTAAACATTTTTTACATCCTTCAATGTTTCATTTGAGCCGTGCAATTTTCTTTATTTCTTTTCGATGTTACTACAGAAGTGTACATGGAATAATACAGATGGAAGGGATATAAAACAAATATAAAATGACTCATTCTCGGAACAAGCTAAAACTATTCGCACTCAGGAACATCATTAGTACTTTTCTCCCTCGGGCCGATGGCCCTCGGGAGAATAGCACTAGCTGATGTTCCTTCGATGCGAATAGTTTCAGCTAGATCCTCGAGTGTCATTGTATATTTGTATATTATCACAGACACTGATAACATGTAGGGCCATGCATCTCAGAAAACTGGAAACATTGTTAAACAATGCCTTTAATCACATTTTGTTCGTTTGTTTCTCAGAATGTTACAACGTGCCCTGTAGATCGTAGTGTGTTCTCACTCATCTTAGTGAGGAATACAATCCACGGTGAGATTGTCAGACAGATGGAGGTGAAAGCACAAGAAACTGTTGATGAAGACCAAGATCCGACCTACTGTGAGGTATGTAGGGGTGTCAATAGGCTTGTCTTCACCAGACCGAAGTTGCAAAATAACCTGCTATTTTCAGACTCATGATATGTTCCTGAAGTTCAAAATTTCGTCTTCACTAGATCGATACGCTCATCACAAACTAGACGAAGACGGGCGCAAATTAACCCGCTATTTCCTAAATAGCGGGCTGATTGCTGATTGCAACTGCAGGCTGATGAGGATGCAAATTAGCTGGCTAATTTGAGATCGGGCTAGTTAAAATAGCTGATTATTTTGCAACTTTGGTCTGATGAAGTGAGGCCTATTTTGGTCTGTTTACTTAGGCCTGAATCCACAAAGGAGGTATTTAACCCATGGTTTAAACCCGCATTTGCATAACCCATGGTCTAAAATTAGCGCAAAATAAGCATGAAACAGTGAGATGTCCGATATTAGACGCGCGCAAGGCAAGGTATGCTTATTTTGCACTAATTTTTAAACCTTGGGTTATGTAAATGAGGGTTTAAACCATGGTTTAAGCTAAACCTCCTTTGTGAATTCGGGCCATGGTGTTCAAGGATAAGGTTGTGGGGTCAAATTCCTGCCTGGTATTGACATCTTCACGCAAGAAATTTATCTACATTTGCCATACTCCATCAAGATGGACATGGGAAACTGATGTACTAAAGCTAGTTACTTTAGCGACTTGGCTATAACCTGTTTAATAATGTAGGAGCACCATGAGCATCATAGCATGAAGGTTAGATGTATGAGCACTGTTTAAGAAGCTTTACTATGTAAGGTCGAAAACGTAATCTCGCTCTGCAATTTAGCAAGATTATGTTTTAAAAATCACAAGAAATTAACTATTGCTGAATAAAAATAGGTAACCAATGTTTAATGTGTGAGCTGTAATGTGTGAGTCCCCTATTAGATTGTGTGGAATTATAAGGGTCCTGATTGAGAATTAGGGTCCATGTTTCTTAGGCAACTGTTCATATTGAACCCAGCCTTGGGCTCGAGTTATTTGTAAATTTGCAACATTTTTAGATGGTTTACCATTAGTGCTAACAATTTTACCATGCCCCACATACTCATTTTCATGTAGGTTTGTGGAGAGTGTGACAGAGAAGATCGTCTGCTGCTGTGTGACGAGTGTGACTCTGGCTACCACTGCGAATGCCTCACCCCGCCACTTACCGACATCCCTATTGAGGAGTGGTACTGCCCTAACTGTGTGGATCATGATGGTAAGTTACAACAGCTTATCTGATTGAAATTCGGAGGGGCCTATGTACACCTTGGCCCTGAACATGATAGTTTGATGGTAACTTTGCCATCAATGACAACTACCATGGTAACAGGGCTTTATAGCCAATCAAAATCAAGGTTTCCATGTTAGTTACCATCAATGGTCAGTTTTGTGCAATGGTTGCCAGATCCGTGTTAGGGTCTAGCCCTAATTGTAGTGAATCGTAGGGTAATACTTGTGGATTTTACATGTAAGGAGTATGTATCATGTGAAGGTTTCAATGTATTTCATTTGATACACTTATCAATCACACTTTCATTGATATTAAAGTGACTCTGTAACATTATTGAAGGTTGATGAAAAAAATGTGTCATTTTTGTATGGGAAATGTTACTTATTATATTCCTTCTACTGTACTCGCCCTCTAGCATGCAAACATTCTTGAAAATATTCTCAAACCACAAAGACATGTATGGTTTCCTTTGAAGGTGTCACTGTGCGACACCCTCTAACAGGAAATTCTCCCAACCACTTTTTAATTTTCCCAATCGTTTTTCCATGAAAATAAGACATAAGACAACCTTTTAAAATCTGTCAACACTGAAATGTAATTAAATTGTAATAATATAGTTGGGAGAATTAAGGAATCGATCAGATCAGTTTTTCCCAATTTTTATCATTAATAATGGTCCGTTTTCACTCAAACTTTCAGATTATCTTTAAGTGTACATCTAGCATTGAAGTCACTACCTCAGCACCATTTTCTTTCATCTGAACATTGTTACCAAGTCCCTTTAATCCTGTGTTTTCTCTCCATCTAGATGAGAGCAGTGAAGACGAGTACATGTCCGGCCTGCGTCGTCCTCTCAGGAGGGTCAGGGAGTACGCACGGGCCATCGCCAGGACACAGGTAGCAGAGAGGGTCCTGTCAAGGGTTCGCCAAGCGAGGGAGCTAAGACGCATTGATGAGGAGGAACAGGTGAGATTGGGAATTTTTATTTGTCTAAATTTTTGTCAAATATTTTGCATATCCAAATTTGCAGTTGTCGGTTTCAATGCTCAAAGATATATACGGACAAAGAGCAACGATATGTTCTCTTAACAATTTTATAATCAACAAACTTTCCCTAACAAATCTAGTTTATTTGTCTTTGTCATGTCTGCAAGTGTGTTGTGAATATAGGTGTGACAAATTCTATTTGTCACATACCAGAGTATGTTCTTGTGTTTTTTGGAGACTCTAAAAAGCTCTTTCAAATATCTAGCTATTAAATTGCATTTATCTCCTGTACTGCTTTATTAGAACTTTGAAGTGGGGATCTTTTCCTTGTAATGAGTGTTTCACTTGTGAGATAAATTGAGCAAATCCATTCTATGTTGCCTACAAATGGTTGATATAACATGTATCTTCACATGTTCATTTATTTCTCATGATGAGGTTCTTAGCCTCAAGTAACTAAAGCGTGGAATTACAATAACATAATCATAGTGCGCTTCATATTTCCCTTTCTTATACACATGGATAAGTGAGAATACCTAGGGTCTTTTGCGCACAACTACTTTTTTTTTATCCCACCTACTTTCTTGAGGCACTTCATGATCATTTTGAAGCGCAATTTTTTTTAGGGCTTCAATAGTACACCATATCACAGACACTTATAACAAGTAGGGACATGCATCTCAGATTTGCAAAACTGGAAACATTGTTAAGCAATTCCTTTAATAAGTTTTCTTCTGTGTATCTTAACCATAGACTGGTACGACTAGCACAGCTACACGTGCCCCGAGGGTCCCCAAACCCCGAAGGAAAACAACCCGCAAACGCAAGACCACCAAACGCAAAACCACAAAGCGCAAGACAACAAAGCGCAAGACCACCAAACGCAAGACGACTAAACGCAAAACAACCAAGAGGAAGACCACATCTACAACAACAACAACCACTGGGACGAAGAAAAAGCGTAGGAAAACCAGACGGAGGAAACGAAAGGTAAGTGGATGATTCATAGTCTGATGTTTTATCGCTTCACACCCCCTTATGGAGATATGTATTGTTTTTGCAGCTCTAAAACACAAAAGAGAAGTAAAATATAATGTACACATATAAAATTATGGGACCAATCACCCCCTCCAAAAAATCGACATTGTTTGCAGCCATTAGATGACCCCCATAAAAAGAAGGCTTGAGTAGGCTACCAAATTCTAGTAGCTAAGAATTAAAAAACCCAGGAGGGAATAATCTGAATGGACATAAATTTAGAGTTTTGTTTAGGCACGCTTGCTTGTAGGTGTGTGGACTTGTCTGTCTTAAGTTGCTGTCATTTACATTTAGTTTACTGAGGCTTCTTATATCAACTGCACCAGAACATCCATTCAGCATCCACACTAGACACCTTTAAGAAGCACTTGAAGGCGTAGTTATTTAACTGATTTTCCTCCTTCATACCTTGTGAAGCCAATAAGCCAATTCACAGTTGTAGTCTGAGCATGAGCAGATAAAGGTCATTGCAGACCAAATTGTGAAATACATGGAGATAAAATACTGGATACCTGCTCATGAAGGTTATGTAATCACAAGCAGTGCACTCAATGATACACAGGTGGAAGTATTCTTTGAGAAAGGGAAACAAAGGCCATTTATGTAGCACCTCCATCGCTGTAGGGGTGATTATTTCAAATGTACAAAGTGGGACCTCTTCATGTTTTGAAGATCTATGGATATTCAGGGTCATTTTGACATGTGCTAACTATGAATTGGTCTATTGTGTGGGAGCGATACATAAATGAACATATTATTGATATTACTACAGGTTCGAAAGACCTGCAGGAGCTCGTACGGCCGCGCCTTTGGTTGCCAAGACGATCCGGCGCAGGATCGCTGGCAAGCTGTGTGAGAGCACTATATAAATGATCATATTATTATAATTACAGGTTCGAAGGTCCTCTGCAGGAGCTCGTACAGCAGCGCCCTCTGTGGCCAAGACGATTTGGCGCAGGATCGCTGCGAAGCACTTGAAGACGTATTTGTATAACTGATTTTACTACCTTGATACCATGTAAAGCGCTGTGAAACCAATTCTGTGGAGCACTATATAGATGAACATATTATTACTATCATTACAGGTTCGAAAAGGCTCTGCAGGCGCTCGTACAGCCGCCCCCTCTGTGGCCAAGACGATCCGGCGCAGGATCGCTGGCAAGCTGAACCTGGTCAAGCCCAAGGTGGGCTCCATGATGCCTGATATGAAGCAGAAAGGAGAGCAGAGCTTGCTCTTCAAAAGGCATGAGATCGGTGTGGCTTCCCTCTCCCTCACTGGAGGCGAACATCTATTTGATCCACGGTAAGTTGGAGATCTCACATTTTAAAGCCCCACTGCACTACTTGTAGCTACTTGCACCCTCTATATAGCAAACAATGCCTAACAATGCATAATTGAGAGCTGATTTGGTGTTGATATACAGGAGTGTCGTGGTCGAGTGAATATTTTATTGGTTTAGGTTTATGAGGGAAAAACTGTTCTAATGATATCTAAATGAAAATGCGTGTGTATTTGATTCAAGGGGTGATGCAGTAAAATTATTGCCTTCTTGATTTTCAGAAATGTTTAGAAAACTTTTTAAATGCTTTTATGCAGCTACTGACTTGTAATCCCCAATTTGAATGTTTTTCTTCTCTATTTTTGATTTCTCTATTTACCATTTATATTCATCTTCTTTTCTCTCTTTAATGATTGTTTCTTTCTTTGTCTGTGTCTCTCTTCAACCTTGTTTCTCTCTATAACTCTCTGTCTTTGCTTTCTTTCTCTCTTTCTTTCTTTCTTTCTTACTCTCTATCACTCTCTGTCCTTTCTTTCTTTCTCTCTATCACTCTCTGTCCTTTCTTTCTTTCTCTCTATCACTCTCTGTCCTTTCTTTCTTTCTCTCTATCACTCTCTGTCCTTTCTTTCTTTCTCTCTATCACTCTCTGTCCTTTCTTTCTTTCTCTCTATCACTCTCTGTCCTTTCTTTCTTTCTCTCTATCACTCTCTGTCCTTTCTTTCTTTCTCTCTATCACTCTCTGTCCTTTCTTTCTTTCTCTCTATCACTCTCTGTCCTTTCTTTCTTTCTCTCTATCACTCTCTGTCCTTTTTTCTCTCTGTCACTCTCTGTCCTTTCTTTCTTACTCTCTATCACTCTCTGTCCTTTCTTTCTTTCTCTCTATCACTCTCTGTCCTTTTTTTCTCTCTGTCACTCTCTGTCCTTTCTTTCTTACTCTCTATCACTCTCTGTCCTTTCTTTCTTTCTTTCTTCCTTTCTTTCTGTCATCCATTCTTCTTGCTGCAGTGATGATGATTCACATGTGACTCGGGGACCTGGTGCACAGAGCGCACCAACTCCAAGGTAAATAATGATACTAATATTCCGCTTTTATATGGCGCCCGATACATCAGGGTAATTTTTGTCTCCTGAAGTAATAGTTTGTTTGTTTTACCTGACTGCTAAGAAAGCATGTGCATGCTTGTAAGTAAGCAATCAGGGGACCGATGGGAATGAGGATTAATGCCTTAACAAAGGGCACTCGTGCATCGACTTGGTTTCAAACTATCTATCAATATGCATCGTTTCATATTGGAGTTATTGTTATCATCAAATCAAATCAAATCAAATCATATGACCGATTGAGATTAGACTTTGTATGGTAGAAAGCTGATACAGTATAACCTGCTTTAGTGACCACCTGTCTACAAAGACCACATTTTATTCCCCTTAAAATTGATTTCTCATTGAAACATGTACTAAAGGAACCTGTACATAAAGACCACCTGCCTATAAACACCACTTTTCATGTCTCCCCTGGGTGGTCCTTATAGACAGGTTTCAGAAAATTGTTTTCATTGAAACATGTACTTAACGAACCTGTACCTAAAGACCACCGTCCTTTAAAGACCACTTTTCATGTCTCCCTTGGGTGGTCTTTATCGACAGGTTTCACTGTATATAATAACAATAATATTATTAATAGTGTAAACTTATAGAGGGCACACACCATCCAGGGACGCTTGTGGCGCTAGCTCAGCAACAGTTCTCTTTAATACAAGTAAAGTAAACAATTTTGCAATATTTATTTATATCACCCATTTCAATCCTTATTTATCCCTAACAGGCCCTTATCCGCTACCTCTTGCCCGTCCACTAGCAGTGGACCCTTAGACCTACTGGGCAGTATTCTACAGGCTGGGAACATCCTCCACATGAAGAGTGAAAACATCATCATCCACAAAGACGGAACACTCACCTCGGCCAGAAAGAAGGGTAAGAATTCCACTCTATTAACTCTTAAGGTGCCAAGGAGATTGGAGGTCTATGGAAATTGTGTGTATTATTTGGAGCATATTTACACCTCTAGCACTGCGTGATGTAAAGGGAGTGTAGCCTGAAAAGACCACATGTCTTTCCCGTGCCCTGACTCGGGCCAATCGGGCATAACAGGACTACGGACTACGCTACCGCAGCAATCACGTACGTGCAACATACGCGAGAATGAAGCGTGAGGAGAAGCTTGGGTCTGTTTCGCGAAAGCTAGCCATGTAGAGATTAATTCGCTGGCTACCATTAATGAAGTCTATTTGTTTACATGCAGTTGTCCAAAAGAAGACATAGATGGCGTTAACCAGTATTTGCCAAGCTACACTCCCTTTAATTGACTGTAAAATAAAAAACTTTTGTGCAAATGAAATGTTTGTGAATTTTCAGAGTGGTTAAGATTCATGAAAGTTTGATGCAGCAAAATGGTTGAATCATAGCTGAGACATCACTGGATTTTTAGCAATTTGCAGTCGTTAGTTGCCATAGAAATTGCGAAGTCCTGTTCACACTACTACAAAGCTTCCGATTTGGCAGCTGGTACCATTCCTGATTGGCTTTTAGATGGAATTTCCTGTTCTATATATCGCTTTTCTGTTTTCCTTTTTGAATTCAGTGGCATAACTTTAGTGAAGTCAGGCATTTAGGGTTGGGGGGGGGGGGGAACTAAAGTTGGTTGATGAAATGTTAATTTCCCCCCTTTTTTTGGGGGGGGGGGGGGGAGCAGGGGTGGGCTGTTCTTAACTCGGTTGATGACAAACAAATTTTCCCGTTTTTGTTCGGCCATGTGATTGAGGTACTCAGCATCAACCAAAAAGATCCCAGAATAAAATGTTGGCTTACTGTTCAGAGACTTGTGATCAAACTTTCCAACAGCATACTAATTGTAAGGGTATTTAGCAAATCCAATCCAATCCAAAAGATATTTGAAATAGCGCCTTTTCCTTGCAGTTACAAAGCGCTGCACACACGCTCCACAATGTTTGGGCCACTTAAAAACAAAAGTTAGACACTTCTCAGAAATCAGTAATGTATATGCAGGCTGGTAATAAAGTAATTTTAAGCAGAATAGATGTGACTTGAGTAGTTTCTTGAACTGGTCAACAGATGAGGCCGTCTGCACAGCAGTAGGTAGCTGGTTCCACAGTTTTGCAGCAACCGATTGAAAAGACAAATCACCAGATAGATATTTACCATTAGTATAGTATTTGGTTTTTATTTAAGGGAGCTGGTTAACAGAGGGAAGAAGTGATTTGATTCCTTCTTTTTAAAAACTCCTCTGAATTTTGTGGATTATGTGTTAATTTGAAAAGAATTGACAGTGAAAAGGATGTCGATGAAAAACAGATTTATTTTCACACATTTTCTTGTCCTTAAGTGATTTGGTTCCTAAAACTCCTCTGATTTAAAAAAAAAAATGTGTTTTAATTTCGAAAGAATCAACAAATATAATGATGTCGATGAAAAACTGAGTTATTTTCACACATTTTCTTGTCCTTGTCCAGATGAGAAGGCCACCCCTAAGAAATCCCCCACCAAGACAGCTCACAGACCCTCTACTTCATCTGCTACTAGCCATCATCACAACTCAGAGAAAGGAAGCTCCAAGTCAGATCCCATGGCACCTGTGACCTCCTCCCAGGGTCAAAGGTCATCACAAGCTGAAGGTCATCCTCAAGGTCAACAGAAGTCAGAGAGTAGTAGCAGCAGGCCGCACTCCTCGAGGGTGAAAGAATCACAAGAAATGGGCTGCGATGATAGGGTTGATGATTTGGAGCCGGTAGAAATGGACATTGATGATGACGACGATGATGATGATGTAACATTTATGAATGATGTCAATCAAGTGAGCAAGGGGAAAGGGTCTTCTCTCGGTACCGGTGTAAGTGAGATTCATCAGAATTATGGCTGGGACAGACGGTCAGAATTTGTGAGAACTAGAGAAGGGATGGCATCACAGAATGCATCTCTTTCAATGAATGAAGGGCAGGAGTGCCAGGACAGAGATGAACATGGGAATGATGAGAGTGATGGGGATGTGGGTTACCATGGAAACGACGATAGCCAGGGTGGAGACGGGGATGATGGTTATCCGCAAGGAGACGGCGATGAGGATCAGGGTAATCAAGACGAGAATACAGTCAATAATAATAATAATAATAATGGAGAAGGGGGAGGTGGAGAAGGGGGAGGTGGAGAGGGAGAGGAAGGAGGAGAAGGAGGAGACGAGGGAGATGAAGGAGAAGAAGGAGGAGGAGAGGAGCAGGGAGAGGAAGAGGAGGAGGCAGAGGAAGAGGTGGAGGAAGAAGAAGAGGAAGATGCTTCACATGCTGTTGAGCAGCAGCAAGAAGATTATGCCAAGGTTGGAGATGCAGATGAAAGGAATGAGGATGGAGAGGAGGAGAGGGAGGAGGAGAGGGAGGAGGAGGAGGTGGCTGTTGAAGATCCTATGGCTGAAAATGTAGCAGAGGAAGAGGCAGATTGCAGAGAAAATGTAGATGAGGTTGGAGAAGAAAAGGAGGAAAACCAAGTGGAAGAAGAGCAAGAGGTAGAGCGAGAGGTGGAAGAACAAGAAGAAGAATTGGCTGAAGAGGAAGAGCAGGAGGAAGAAGAAGAAGTAGAAGAGGAGGGAGAGCAAGAAGAGGAAGAGGTAGTGGAAATAGAAAATGATGCAGGGGATACGTTACATGAGCAAGAAATTGAAGAACAAAATGCAGAAGAAGAAGATGGAGGAGAGGAAGCAGGAGAAGAGCAAAAAGAAGATGAGGAAGAAGAAGACGGAGAAGCAGAAGAGGGTGAAGACATGGACGATGAACAAGACCATCAAGACGAAGTGGAGATTGTGAATGAAAATGCTGAGGAAGAGAAAGGTGGTGATATGACTAGTTCTAAGCCTTTAATTGGTGAGCTGGAATGTGAGGACATTTCGGATGAGGACATTGTTCCAGAAGATGGAGATCACGCAGAATCCGACGACGAGGAAGGTATGATCAAAGAGACAAGCGATGGGAATGTCATTGAAGCCAAACCCAAGGGCAAAGACTCCCGGAAAGAGAGGAGATCAGAACCAGGAGAGACTCGTCAGATGGCTACAGAGGTGACAGAGTCTGATGTGAAGCACGGAGCGTCTTCCGCAGAGGAGGGGGAAGTGAAGACGGATGATGAGTCGAGGAAGGGAAAGAAGACACGTGGCAAGCGGAAGCGGAAGCCAAAGAAGCGTAACCGCGATAAACGAAACGTGGTCGTGGATCCGCGCAAGTCCATCTCGCTGCATCCACTGATGGCGCCAGACATCCCCAGGATGCCGAAGCGTGGGGAGGAGCCTGCGGGAAGGAGGGAAGGGAGTCGGGAGGCATACGGTGACCTGAGACAGGTTATTCAGGTCAAGAGGGACACGCCCTACACGGCAGAAGAGCTCAGGAGATATCACGAGGAGTACTGGGAGGAGTACAACCGTCGACGGGATGAAAGGAGAGTGGAACGCGTCGGTGGTACCCTTGGGACCAGTATACATACGATCAGTATGCATACTATGAAGCTTGGAGGAATATGGGTGGCGAATTCGCTGGAGGGAGACCTTGGGGCTTACATGTACAGCGTGACCGATCCCCCATCTATGATCGGAGGAAAAATGGTGCTGAGCCGCAAGCGTTATTAGACCCCCGCCTCGAAGCACAGAGAGAGAGTGCAAGGAAGGAATTAGAAAGAGGAAAGGAGGAGGGATCGAGAAAGTCCAGTGAGAAAAAGACAAAATCTGACAGTGATGCTGGTCGTAAGGACCATGCAACAAAGAAAGAAAGCAGCAGATCTCAGAAAGATGAAAAGGACAAATCAAAGAAAGAAAAGACTAAGAGTAAAGGACATGTTCATGAAAATTCTGCACGTGATAAAAATGGTAGGGAGCGTGAAGAGGGTGAAAAGGACAAGAAGTACCGTGATAAAGAAAAGGGAAAAGAAAAGGATAGAGAAAAGGACAGAGAAAGCCGTGATAAGCATGGACACGATAAAGAAAAAGACCGAGGCAGGCAGAAGGAGAGGGAAAGAAGTCGTGAAAGAGATCGTAGTCGGAAAGACCGTGAACATCGGAGTAGAGACAGGGATAGACACCGAAGCCGTGACCGTGAGCGTAGCCGTGATCGAGGTCGTGAGCAGAGTAGAGATAGGCATCATAAAAAGAGTGGCGAACGTGAGCGCAGCAGAAGCAGAGATAATGATCATAGTCGCAGCAAGCACAGATCCCGCAGCCGAGATCGTGAACGTAGCCGTAAGCGGGAAAGAAGCAGTGAAAGCGATCGTGTTACATCTAGAGACAGGAGGAGAGACAGGTCAAGGGATAGGGGGCGAGACAGAAGTCGAGAAAAGGTTGTAAGAACATCCAAGGATCATGATAAGCCTAAAGAAAGAGAAAGAACTAGAGATAGTGTTAAGACGATAAAGAATGAGGATATAAAGTCTACCTCTTCTGTCCCTCTGAGAAAAGAACGGGGTAAAGTCACAGTTGATGCATCTGGAGTTAGAAAAATCTTGTTGGGAGCAAAAGCTACCGGTAAGCCAAAGGTTCCCAAAAAGGTTGTGAACAAACCTGCCCCAACAGTTGTTAAAGTGGAAAGAGTAAAAGTTAAGAAGATTAAGAAAGAAAAGGCAGGAGCTGAAAGCAAAGTAGAAAAGAAAGGAAAGAAAGCCAAGGTAAAGGGAGAGAAGAAACTGACTAAAGGCAAAAAGAAGAAGGCAATTGTCAAGAGACCACTGTCGTTTGATGTAGATGAAATTGCTGCACCAGCCAAAAAGAAGAAGGCAATTGCCAAGAGACCATTGTCTTTTGATGTGGATGAAATCGCTGCACCAGCCAAAAAGAAAAAGGCTCCAGCTACCGTTGTAGAGGTCAAGGTTGAAGACATTGTTCTAAAGCCACCAAGCCCTCTGATATTTGATGATGCTGATGACTCGATCCCTGTGCCTTCCACAACACGTAGCTTGTCTCACAGTCCTGACGAACTCTTCATCGACATCGCCGCTCCAGACATTGATCTGGATCTGTCAAGGACAGTTATGGAGTCTCCAAAACTGGTGCTCAAGGCTAAATCACCAGCTGATGTTGCAGTGGCCGATAGCAGTCATCTGGAGACAGACATGTACGATCCCTTCGAACCTACGGCATCACCTCCATCAGGTATCAAGTCTCCATCCCCGATCCCATCGGAGGCATCACCTGCCCATGACAATGCCACATCATCCTCTCTGGAAGTGTTCAAACAGGCCTCCACGCCTCCTCCGGAAGTGCCTCCAAACCCGACATCCACCACGGACGTCTCCAGCTCAGACATGGCCACCAACCCCTCGCAGCAGGGCATGACCAACGAAGACCGCCTCATGCTGGCATCCCAGGCTAGTCAACAGATCACCAAGATCCTCAATCAGCTGGCGACCGTTCCCGTCGCCAAGCCAAGGGTCTCTCCAGAGTCGCCCGTAGAGCAGACCATGTCCTCTGCCTCCATTGAGCTGGGGCTTTCCCCGGAGCACCTCAGTGGGTCAAGTCTCTCTGTCAGCTCACTTGGATCCGATGATTACAAAGTGGATCTAATCCTGCCACAGGACAACATCGGAGAGCCCCAAGAGGATGACATAGAAATGTCTGCTGTGGACCTTTACAACAAGAACAGTAGAGACAGGGTGAGTGAACAATAGTTTTTGTATATCAATCTTATCATTTTCTTTTCTGATGATCAATGGTAGATCTGGGGGGGGGGGGGGATTACAGCTGGCCTTTGTCCCCTCCTTTGAAAGTAAAACCCTATCCGCTAAACAAAATGATGAGCCATGTTAAAACAACAAAACCCTTTTTCAACAAATGTCCAGTCATGAATCACAATAGCTGTCGCATATGTGTCCTTTCTTTTGTGTTTACATCATGTCGAGGGTTCAGTGACACAAAGATGTAGCTCCATATTTTGCCAAAATGAGTATTTGATATCAAAATGTTCTGAAAAATGTTGGCTTACCAGGAAACACAAAGACTTAACTCCACACAACACCCCATTAAGGTCAATGGCTAGTGAAACATTGACTTAACTCCCTTAAGGCCCTAGTGCTAAGTGACATATAAACCACTTTTTCTCATAATGGCTAAAAATGGAGTTGCGTCTTTGTGTAACTTACCCCTCGCAGTCAGGAATCGCAATAAAGATGTCTCCTTTCTTGTGTGTATACATAATGTACACCCGCTATCTTCGTCATACAGTACCTCAAGAAGCTGTACCACCAAGAGAGGGTTGTGGAGGAGGTGAAGCTAGCCATCAAGCCTCACTACGTGCGTAAGACCATCAATAAGGAAGACTACAAGGAGATCCTCAGAAAGTCCGTCAATCAGGTATGATACTTACATGTATGGTCATTCTAAATTAATCGTATGAATTGAGGGCATCCATGGGAATTAAAATAATGTCAGTGTTGTGACTGTTGTCAGCAAATAGCATAAACGACACAAGGGACGATGCATTAGTCGTAGGCCTATTATTTATATACATTTAAAAAAAGGGGACCTAATGTTGATCCTTGTGGGAATCCACATTTCGTTGTAAAATTTTCTGATGAAAAACCATGATTCACGACATACTGTTGCCGGAATGATAAACCACGAGAGAGCAACTCCTCAAATTCCAAAATTTCTTTTTGGATTTTCAGGTCTAATGCTCTTTCAATGTCATAATAAAATTAAAAAATCCACTTGAAGCATTTAGGCTTTAAAGTGTTAGACTTGGATGTTTTATACCACAAAGATAGTAGCATTGTTTAGCTATGTAGGTAGCAGAGGACTTGTGATATTCTAATGTAAAGGAGAATGGGAAACTGACTAACCTTCCTTCTTGGGGCCCTCAGGTCTGCCACAGCAAGACGGGAGAGATCAACCCTGTCAAGATCCGTCGTCTCATCGACGGCTACGTTAAGAAGGCCCAGCACAAGAGCAAGAAGCCTAGCGGGGGTGACCCCCACAAGTCAGGCAAGGCCAGTGGAGGGTCAGCCGGAAAGACCAGCTTCAAGACATCCGGCAAGAGCTCCAGCAAGAGCGCCGGCAAGAGCGCCAGCAAGGCTACTAAGGAACCGGCCAGTGCTTCAAAACTGATCGAGAAGGGCAGAAGTCTTGGGCTCAAGTCAAAGTAAAATGTATTCTTATACCTAATCGAGGGGTTAGTGACACAAAGACTTAACTCCATTTTTGAGAAAAAGTGGTTTATGTGTCACTAAGCATTTAGGCCTTAGGGAGTTAAGTCTGTTTCACTAGCCAATGGGGTGTTGGGTGGAGTTAAGTCTTTGTGTTTCCTGGAAAACCCACATTTTTCTGATCATTTTGATATCAAATACTCATTTTGGCAAAATATGGAGCTACGTCTTTGAGTCACTGAATCCTTGTATTGATGATAATAATGATGATAATTGTGATTATCATATATTTACTAATCGCATGTTAATATTTTGTATACTACGTGGTTTCCTTAGGATTCAGGCACTTGTACTCCTTTGAAACCTACTGGGACTTGATTTTAAAAGAAATTATCATAGAATTAGATAGGATTAAATTTGAAAATATTTGTTATCATGTCTTTTAATTTGAGATGGGAATACCAATTCAGTCAATTATTCTTCTGCTGAATATTTCAATTTCAGAGAGGTAATTAACATAATTACATGTACATGTATTATGTAGGAAAAAAATACAATGATAATGCTGTTGTGTCATGTATTCCATGATCAATGGACAATTTGCTTTACATGAAGACATGATATTTCATCTAGGTATTAAAACTAATAATTATGTTTTTAAAAAAACAATAATAATGAAATGCAGTTCTACCATGTATCTCATGAACAATGAAAATGAACTCTGTTTTACAAGGAGACATATACATGTAGTTCTATAGACGCACATTATTTCAATTTCAGCAAGATAATAGAATTCAATAATACAATTTAGAAATGGCGAAGAGGAACAGAGTTATATTAAACACATGTGAATGAAAAAATTTAGAGATGGCATATTATTATTATTTTGTTTTAAAATTAAAAATGAATTTAGCCTTCAGGCAACTCCTGCAAAACAGCTAATAAACTTTCAAAAATTGATTCGGGTCATCAATTTGAAAGCAAATTATGATGTGCCAGGTGGGGTATTTTTGTTACTAGGAATAGGACAGGGGCAAAGAGAATCATGTAGACAGTAAACTATAATCAATTAAAAGAACTGAGAGAAGTATTTTAAACAATTTCAAGTGATAGGGAAAAAAAAGGCATCTGGTACAAGTTGAGTAGGATTTTGATTCTGATTTTTTGCTCAAATAGATAAGGTTTTCATCCGTTAGATAAATGTTTGAAATCTAGAATTCTTTCCCGCACGTTTAATTCCATCGTTTATAAAAGCCAGTCAGCTTTGGAGTAAGAAAGTGGCGGGATTTGTGTGCCTAATGCATAATACATGTTGGCTTGTTAATTTTCATTGATAGTCGTTATGAGATTTTATATTCCATGCAAGGGCTGCCCTCATTTTTGATTGCGAAGATTTTTTTTTAGAAAACTGCTACGAAGTTGGTTGATTGGTCAATTTTCTAATTAATTTGAAAGGTTAACACGAATAAGCTGATGACAATAATCATGTGTTTTATGTGTATTTTGAGTATTTCCTACTTTGGACGATCTTAGCCAAATATTGCGTTTTTTTAAAAGTATTTTATGTTGTTGGATAAGTTTAATGTTTTTATCATTTTGTTTTCTGTACCTGCTAGTAATAATGGCAAACAATTCTCGTATTTATTGAATGATTTACAAGTTAGATTCGATGGAAATATCAGTATTTGTAAATTTGAACTTGAGCCTCATGAACATCTGTACAAGAAATTATGTTGTTAAGGTGCTGTAGATGGTAGTGATTAGGCAGTTACAAAATTAATTTTGTTAGATAATCTTTGGCAAAACATGAAGCAGTCAGCGGTAAAATGCCATGGGAAACTCAAAACTGTTTGACATGTAAATGACCAGTAAGTAGGGCTGAAAAAAGGGTTACTGCATGCCCTAAAAGATCTACACATCCCCGACTTATTTGTGTTTTTCGAAGATACAGAATCGTGAAGCCCATTTTACAAAGCCATGTGTAGACACAACCTTTAGTGGAGTTTAGTTGGTCATCATTTTATGATCTTGTGTTTCTTGACCGGATGTAAAACTGTATCTTATCTGGCTCTTAATCAGTGATTCAAAGATATTAACAAAGTACAGCTATTTGTTCTATTAACTTTTGTTGGATATGTGTTATTAACCATGTTATTGCCAATTTCATAGTCTTCTCTTCAGCGTTAGAAATTGTTTTAGATGTGAGAAAATCAGTGATGTATATTATTACCAGAGTGTGATTGTAAATAGGGTGTAAGCTATACTAATATCTGCTCACTGCTTGAGATGAGGCCAATACCTTGTTTAGTCTATGATATAGGCTCTGTGTATGTATAGTCTTGCTAGCAGACTCATCTTGTGAACAGACTGAAATTGATATTTATGTACAGTGATAGAATAGTCTTTGGTATAAAAAGTCTGCCGAGTGCCAGAAGGGCTTTAACAATTCTCTGTTTCTGATACGAATATATACTGACCGTGTGTCGCTATATCTTTTTTCTTCATAGAATGTTAAATTGTAAGTAGATCATGCTAAGTATGGCATAATTATTTAATGATGAAAGTTGTTTGTTACTTTGTAGAATTATGTCAGCACCTTTGTGAATTGATCATTCAATGTACATTTCTTGTAAACGTCTCTTTTTTCTTCTTTGAAATAGTAAACATGACATTGCAATCCTGATCAAGGTGCTATCAATATTTTACATTCTCTTATAGTGAACGAGAGGGAAAGAGAGAGAGAGAGAGAGAGCAAGACAGGGGAAAAGGAGAGAGAGAGCAAGACGGAGGAAAACGAGAGAGAGAGAGAGAGAGAGAGAGAGCAAGACAGAGGAAAATGAGATCGAGAGAGAGAGCAAGACAGGAAAATGAGATCGAGGAGAGAGCAAGACAGAGGAAAACGAGAGAGAGAGAGAGAGAGAGCAAGACGGAGGAAAACGAGAGAGAGAGATAGCAAGACAGAGGAAAATGAGATCGAGAGGGAGAGAGAGCAAGGGGAAAAGAGAGAGAGAGAGAGCAATACGGAGGAAAAGGAAGGTTGTGACTGGTTATACATGCCAAGGAGGTACAAGCTGGTACCTCCTTGGTTATACCAGTATTTGATTTGATTTGATTTATTGGTTTCTGCATCTTTTTCCTTTTTTTCATCATACATTTTCATGAACATAATATGGTTTTATACAATATTTTAAGTGTATATAATTTTATACAGATAAACGAAATTAAACAAATATTTTGAATGCATAATTTACATACATTAGATGCAGGAGGGCTATAGAAATAAGCAAAGTAGCTTGACGTGCCTGCAGCCCTCAACAGCAGCCCATTCAAAAGCAGAGCCATCTAGCAGAGAATGATTAATGCTCTTAAAGATATCAACAGGCAGTATCAAGACTTGAGAGAGAGAGAGAGAGAGAGCAAGACAGAGGAAAGGAAAAGAGAGAGAGAGCAAGACAGAAAAAGGAGAGAGAGGAAAAGGGGAGAGAGAGAGAGAGAGAGAGAGAGAAAGCCAAACAGAGGAAAGGGAGAGAGAGAGAGCAAGACAGAGAAAAAGGAGAGAGAGAGAGAGAGAGAGAGAGAGAGAGAGAGCAAGACAGAGGAGAGAGAGAGAAAGCCCAGAGGAAAAGGATTGAGAGAGAGAGAGAGAGAGAGAGAGAGCAAGGCAGAGGAGAGAGAGAGAAAGCCCAGAGGAAAAGGATTGAGAGAGAGAGAGAGAGAGAGAGAGAGAGAGAGACAGAGGAAAAAGAGAGATGAGAGAGGCAAGACAGATGAAAGGAAAGCAAGAGGACCGGAGTGGCAGTTGAAGAGGAGAGAGAGAGAGAGAGAGAGAGAGAGAGGACCAGAGTGGCAGACGAAGAGAGACAGAAAGAGGGAGAATGATCTGGGCTCTCTACAAGTGGTATCAACAACAATGCTAGATTGTTATGACAAATTTACTTTCAGCCAATCAAATGCCACGATGTCAGTAGCTTATAACAGTTATAACTGTAACATGTTATTGATATTGTCATGTAAATGAAACAGAGCCCATGCACAGAGGGCGAGGGGAACAGAATAAGAATGTGGTGACACTTGAACAACATGTCATGTTCTAACTACTTCAACGTTCAATCACCCCTAATCGCCCCACCCCTCCCCCTCTTCACCCAAGGGTCACGGAATAACTAGGGTATCACATGTTGGCTTATGTCAATAATACCGTGATGGTATTTCCATACCTGCATTGCTACTAGGTTCGAATATCCGTGGAGTTACTAGCCAATATCGTTAAAGGAAACCAAAACCTTCATACTAAGTTACTTTTATTGTAAAGTTTAAAAGATTTGAATGAAATCAGTGAAAATTTGAACAAAATCGGGCAAGGAATAATGAAGTAAGAGCTTTTTTAAATGACTAGTCACTAGAGGGCGGTATTCAATTTGATGACATCATCTGTGAACAACTCTCTATGCCTTTTGTACATAAAATTTCACAATTTTTTTGTTTTCTTTGTATTTATTTGTGTTCTTGATCCGACTTCATAACATGTGAAGTAGAATATCATTTTGCATTCTATATCTTGCTTTCAGGGGAGTACATTATCTCAATCAGAAGAAAGAAGGAAAAACATGAAATTTGATGTACAAAAGGCATGGAGAGTTGTCCACAGATGATGTCATCAAATTGAATACCGCCCTCTAGTGACTAGTCATTTCAAAAAGCTCTTACTTCCTTATTCCTTGCCCGATTTTGTTCAAATTTTCACTGATATTTTTCAACTATCTTAAACTTTACAATAAAATTAACTTAGTATGAAGGTTTTGGTTTCCTTTAAATGATAAGGTGTGGCAATCTCTCAAGCATTGAGCATACTCATACCTCTGTATGCTGCTGTATCAATTACAATTGCAAATGTATGACGATCGTAATCTGGTGTTTACTACCGTGATGGTCATCATCATACTATGTAAACTGTTGAACCATGCAGAAATGAATAAATAATAGACACCATTATCATCATAATCAACAACATCATCATCACCATCTGCATCATCATCATAAGCATCGATCGACAACATCACTTAGTTCATTCATTATTTCCCTGATTATTATTATCAGCAGTATTATCAACATTATTGTCAATGTTATCATTCCCAGCTATCACTGTCTTTATCTTTATTTGTCTCATGTTTATTATAAATAATGACTTATTTTGTTTACAATGTCATTCTGTGTTGCTTGTGCTAAGGGGAATTTGGCCCCGACGGCCCCATTTCATCTCAGGACACATACGGAGGCATGTCGAGAACGTGGATACAATGTTTTTCTTTGCAGCTGTTCGCTCGAGTGATAGCGATTCATAACATAATGTCACAACGGGTCAATTGGCAATCCAGACCTTGTGCACTAATATGATAGGTCGCATTAGTATGTACAGTGGCCTGGCTTGGCTACAGGGGTTCAAGGGGGCACCACGTACCACCCCTTCTCCCCCGTCCGAGTACATATGATGGTGTTTAATTAAAAACTAAGCAAAATGCCAGAAAAGAGAGAAGTAGACAATGAGAAGGGGGAAAGAACTAGGAAAAAAGACACCTAACAATTATAAGCCTTGTTAGACAGTGGTATAGGCACGGAGAGGGCGGGGGAGGGGACACTGGGCCACAAACCCCCTCCTCCGCGCACATCGAGTAATAGCAAGAACAACAAAAACAAGTCGAGAATGGAAGAAGGGAGGCGGGGGTAAGGATTACAGAGAGAACATAGAAGACACTCGGACCGCCTCCCACATCCGCCTACCAATCGGGAACCTTGTACAGTCACATTTCACTTTTTAATTAAGTAAGACAGCCCCCACATAGCGTTTAATTCGCTGCCCCTGCGTGGGTGTATGGACTCATGCTACGTCACTAGATCATCGTGGTGTTGGGTGGGCTGGGAATGGAATGAGAGGGGTGTGGGTGGTGACATATGACGTAGCGTGGTTTTCCTTCACCCACGGGGGCTGTGTAAGCGCGCGGGGGGGGGGGGGGGCACTTAAAAAAGGGTTGTACGACACAATCTCCGGACACTAAACAAAATTCTTAGCGTAGACTAAACGCTATACCTAACCCTTGTCCCAAACCCTATCCAAAAACCGAACAATAACTCCCTAAACCTAAACTTATATCCATGACGAAATATAGCTCGGTGCAATATGTTGCCGGCGCAAATGTCGGAGCATATCACCTTGAAAAAGAAAGAGGGGGGGGGGGGCGGCTTGTGTCATCTTTTATTCATGTTCACTTCCACTCACTCGGCCCTGGGGCGGGGGAGGGGACAAATCTTTGCCCAATATGCCCATCCCCTCTCTAGCTTTTGGGTATTGTGACGGATGTGTCATGTAATGAATGGTATTAACATAGTTATCAGTAAATAATTCGAAATGGCATTTTCAAAATGTCTGTATGTATGTTGTCATATTGTTGTGATCTTGTCAAGACTATACATGACCTTTAACATGATGTGAGAGTTATGCATTGAAACCCTCACCAATCAACCGTATAGCGTAACCATTCTGATATGTAATCAATATACCACGTTATGTATATTAACGATGACTGCTCGATTCCTTCTTGCTCCTAACCTCCTGCCAAGGCTTTTTATCTGTATGAATTAAACCCATTTTGCGAAATTATTTTGATAGATAATTTAAATTCAATTATTTAATTATTCATTAGTTTTATTCCGACCCAAGCGTGTTTTAATTTTCAAAAGCCTTCTAACCTTTTTAAACGTTAAATTCCACATTGAATAAACTTTCGTATTACTGTCACGACCTTGTAGGCTAAACATGAATGAAAAAATGCATGTAGGCCTAATGCATATAACTTACTGAGCACTCAGAGTTTTAGAGTTGAAAATACAGGATATGTATTCAACTAACTGTATTCTAATTGATCTTGTTAATCCAGATTATATTTTATGTTCATATGCACCCTATAACGTACAACATGCTGATAACCGTGGCGGGTACGTGATCACGTGTCTACACCAACAATCACCTATCACGTGACTGCATGGATGAATTGCTGCATTGGACAATCTCGAGGCGCCATCGCTGTTCCATGACGTCACAATGAGTCGTCTACTTGCCTGGTTCATCTTTGTATTGCGGTTCATTGTGATGGTGTAGTTCAGAAGGCGTAAACGTGGGCGGAAAAGAATTGAACGAGTTTGAAATATGGATCTAGATTAAAAAAGTGACTAAGTTCTCGAACACATCAACAGAACCCACAATAACGCTCTTGGCATTGCGGGAGACTAGATCTAACTGAGGGTAGACGAACGCGAAACCAAAAATGGATGCCGAACTCAAGGGGCAAGCATGGCTAGCGGGCCGTGCGAAAAACAAGCAAAGGCCCGCTCAAGTTCTCCTTGCGATGTTGTACCGTGTGCAAAGGATTCTCGCTCTCATCCCCCCATCTCCCTCGATTTCTTCTCTTCCTGGACTATCATCTGAGCTAGATTTGGCATCCCGAGTTAGGACTTCAGCAAATTTTCAGCGCGAGATACTCGTCTATTGATCGTAGAGCCGCTTGGTGTATGCGAGCTATTTGCCGATCGCTCTTTTTCAGTCCAACTTTTGAGCTCGGGGTTCCACCTATTGGCAACTGTACGTCGCGGTGAAGACTTATTGGTCCTCTTTATTTCTTCTTGACACTTTCCCGTGCCTTAGGTAAGTCCTAAATAATTTTCGCTTTGAATTCATCAATGTATTACTTAGGTGTGGAAATCATTTTACAACTACGAAACACGCATTTTTGCGTTAAGATCTATAACCAAACGAAAGAACGTTAATTGATACTTAAGCTCCGAATCATTTCATGTTACGTCTTCATAACGTTCATTAGGGACTTTTAGATTCGCACGAAGACAATGGGGATCGCTACGATCGACGTCCTTTTAATGCACTGTGAATGGACGTCACACGTATCAGTCCACGCAAATCTAAAAGTCCCTATTGACTCGAAGTATACTGTGACGTCTGCTTTTCTACTTTGCTTATAGTCTCGCGTTTATTGAATTGGT